GATAAACTACATTAGCGTCTGTCATTCTGACCTCAACTTGATAAAATAAAGAAACACCAAACCTGAGTTTGCAGAACTGAGAATCCTTCCTGCAAGTATTTGGCTACCACTTCAAAAACAAAATTAAGCTATTTGAGTTTGCATGAAAGTTAGAGAAACGCAGGACAACATACCCAGTGTTTTTTTCTGGATATACTCAACATGTTAGAGTTTACAGAAATTAATACAAATGTACATTGCACGTTTTATCTGTAAACAACTTTGTAAATGGTGCATCATTTTCCTTTCACTTCTGCAACACTTTATGTTGGTCTATCGCATAAAACACTTCTGAGTTTGTGGTTTAAGTGAGAAAGTACAATGCGAATAAATACTTTTGCAAAATGTAGCACATACAGCTCTTGAAATACTAAGCTATAAAAAGGTATAAAGTATTTATCCAAGCCACATTAAAAACCTAACTTTCTGCTTGTTATTTTACATTTTAGGATAGAGTGTTAAAGTATGCTTGCTTACTTCTTTTTGTTAAAATTCCTACATCTAAAAATATTGTCAACTTTAGAGTAAAATCATTCGTTTTGCAGCCCCTACTTTGATTTGGATTAGGCAAGAGATAAAAAGCACAGCTGGATTTGAAACCGAGTAACAAAAATGTGCTTTCAATTTGTGGCCATGCAAATGTGTGCATGGGAATCAGTTGGTCTTTATTGAAATGTTTACTTTCCATTTACATATGTAGCAGAATGGACTTTACCATCAGCTACTAAACTACTTTACACAAATCCTACAGCTTACTTGCAGGGTTTTAGATGAACTACCAACTATGATGATTTATTTAAAGGTGGTTGTCTTTCTAATGCTCTGGTTTAACAGGACTGTACGAATTATTGCTTACTGCATCTAATATTAAGGTTTTAAAACTAAGCAAATAGACAAGCACTTCGTACTGGCTAGCAATAGCCTACAATACAATTAACTGTTTATTTAAACTATAAAATAAAATAAAAAAAATATTAAAGAATAAATAAAATTGACATGAAAAGTAAAAGCAGCAGCCTAGAGGCACAACCCCAAAACCAAAACAGCAGCTTCCACCAAGGAAAATGGCTTTGTCACAAAGCAGACAATGGAGGATTTTGTATATTGAGCAACTTGTGTAGCAAAGCGCCTAATCCAAGAAGCAGGCCAGCATAATGGCCTATTTATGAGTATGAGAGGTGGGCGGGCCAAGAGGGGTGAATTGTTTCAGGGAAGGGGGTAGTGGTGATTGGGCATTGTGGGAAACAAACACTCATGTCAGGACATTTCAACTAACAGTGTGTGCATGCAGGGTGATCCTTTCGACACACTGTCACACCAACTGTACAACAAAACACTGAGGGGGTCTTTTGAAGTGTACATCAACATGCAGCTCCTTTATGATGCATGAAATGAAACCATTATTCTTTTTTTTCCCATTATGGATAAGAATTCCCACAAGCACACCACAATTACCTCAAATTGGTATTGCTTCTGGGGTGCAGCACATTAAGATGTGTTTGGCAAAAAAAAAATGTGAAAGATCTGCTTATATATATATATATATATATATATAATTTTTTTTTTTTTTTTTTACAAATTCTCTTTGTGCATTAAACAAAGAGAACCGGCTAAAGACAGTGACTGATGATGAGGTTTTGCAGGACAACCCAAAGTGGGTGGTGTCTTTTGCAAAGACATGTTCTCCCCCCAAAAATATCAGCAGTTTTTGACCAATTATGGTAATAAATGACAAGAACAACAGACGTCAGACAGGCTGAAATTTGCTTGTGCTGCTTACATCAAAGAAAACAATCTGACTGTGCAAGGCATGAGGCAAACAAGTGGAGACCTGAAATACCAACACCAAAACATTACACAACGGTGCAGCAAGAACATGCTGCTGTTGCAACCCTAAGGAGTTGCATCTCAGCGTCCTTACAAAGGCATAAATGCAATAACTCTGGTGCATTTCTTAAATAACAGCGAGTGGTCTGTTGGGACATGGGCTCAAGAAGAAGCGGAAGACGATTACAGCGAATCCGCTAAGGTCACAGTTTGAACAGCATTCCTATCGAGCTGATGCCAAAGGAGAGAAATGTGGTGTTGAGACACAAAAGAAACAACGGGGCAGGGCAGAGAGTGGGGCTGAAGGGGAGTGTAGGGGGGTAGCCTCCTCCTCGCTGCTTTTAACACTGATCAATAACAGGCTCTTGCAAGGGAGCAAACAAGTAGTCCGCTCCGGAATCACTTCCACTTCATGCAGAGCTTCTGAACCAACTTCAGGATGCTCAGCAGACAGAAAAACAGTGGGTGAAGCAGATGCATTACACCTGTTTCTGTGTATTATTTCTTGAGCCCGAGGCAGACGTGAGGATGGTGTTAGACGGGACGGCACTTTTCAGTCAGAGACCAATCCACAGAGTCAGCGTGGGAGTGGAGAGTCACCTCTCTGACAATAAGAGTGAATCACGATGCAAATTGATGCACTTCCTGGGCCACTTAGCCCCCAGGATAGGAATCTGAAAGGCTGATGCAATGACCTGAATAGAGGAGTTATTTTTCACTGAGACAGTAATCCAAAGATAACAACAACAAATGCTTCTAAATCTGATAATAGTGAACCAAGATGCTCGGGATGATCAGAACCAGTTTCAGAACTGGGTCAGTAGTTGAACTATTGACCAAATGCCTGCACTTCTGTGTCAACATTTACATTCCAGAGCCACAATGAGCACTAGCAGAGCTGCATACCAGTCATTACCCATTATGCAAGGTGACATGAACCCCTTTGGCCACAGCGGGGGGCCAGTCAAAGCCGTAGTCATTTAGAGGAAGAGCTCCATTCACCAACCTAAACAGGAACTTCCTAACGCGACGTTAAGGAGGCTTCGGGTTAGCAAATACGTCTGACATGTGCGGTAAAGTCACAGGTATGTTTGTTGTATGGTTGGGGAAGTACTGTGCGCCCCCCCCCCCTCCCAACCCCCACAGCTTCTCCCCTTCTAACTGAGCAACTCAACAATCAGGCGGTTAGCTTATCTTATTGCACCATGGTTAATAACTTTATTACACACTGCTTGGGCAGAACAGCGTGCTGTCGCATTGTGTGGTTGTGTCTCCAGAGCCATGATGTCTGCGTCATGCAAGGTTCCAGCATTTCAGAATGCCAAGGTTATTATGCAACTTAGACACACACGATTATCACTGTGCCTTATTTTAAGCAAGAGCCATGTTAAATGTGCACATCTAATGCAACTCGGTGCAAGGATTTCAGGTCGCGCCAGCGTTCTCACTGCACTCTGAGGTCCCAGAGAGAAATGTGTGTAAAACAAATAGAAAGACTGCCCCGGACCTGTTGTCGCTATCAAGGTTTAGGAATGTTTTGAACGGATACAGTTTTTACGTGCCTAAAATGCTGCATCGTTCTGTTCCTACAAATTGGAGTCCTTTTTTTCCTGAGACACCAAAGAACATGGTGAAGTGCTTCCCCTCTCGCTCACATGTTGCAGTACACTGGCATCAGCTGGCGGAAAAAACGCCGATATACTTTTTCTCTCTCACATACAACAAAAACAAATTGAGCCATTTGCAAATACTTCTGGTTGTGTAAAACACACAAAGTGATGAAGCTGAAAACAAAATCAAGAATACCTGCACCTTTCAAACCTGTTTGAGTAGCCTGATAGGCCAGCTAATTGCCAGGCAAATACCAGCCTGTTATATTTGTGTTATTCTAAAAATAGCAGAACTGCAAAACAGCATAATATTTTTGCACATGAAGCAGTTGAGAACTGCAACTAATTTTAACAACCGATTAGTCTGCATTGTTTTTTTTTATCTGAAATGTGCCTAAACATATTGTTAACAGAACAGAACATTGTTATAACAAAAAATTTCAAGTCTTAGGTTGAGATCAGCAAAACAAATAGAAAACACAGGACCAACCCATGAGATATATTGTTACAAATGGGGCACTGTGAAAGGCTGAACACACACACACAAAAAAAAAATCTAAAAAAAAAAAAAAAAAGAAAACTGGTCACTCAGGTTATCCCTACCAGACTCCAGTTCTTCAGTGTAACTCTCAAGGACATGCACTTTGAAAAGACAAAAAAAAAAAAAAAACACCCAAGCAAATAAATAAACAAACAAACAAAAAAACAAAACTGCACACTAAACTAAGTGCTAGTGGCGTTTAAACGTGAGATCAGAGCAGCTCCAGCCCAGGAGCAGAGACTTCCAAGCTTGTAATTGCCAGCAGGCGCAGGCTGTGACAGGACATGGAATTTGTGGACATGAGCTGTGTGCCTGTGGGTCTTGTTCATGGTGCTAAACTCTGCTCTCCCACACGGAGGCAAACTGCAGCTCAGGAGGGGGTAGCTTTAATGTGTGTCTATGGAATGCATGATGATGACGATGATATAAACAGCACATGCTGCAGATTGGTCACTTTCTTGTGGCCAATCTACAGCTCAATAAGCGCACCCCCTGCTTTGGCTCTTAGCTAGCCACCGAATCCTTTTTTATACCTTATAAATTAGACTGACCTCAGTAGTTTTTTTGCACATGAAGATGTTTAAAATCTTAGTGTTATAAGTAATCTACGAAATAATAATAATAATAATATATATATATTTTTTTAAACTAAAACGTGTTGATGTGAATCAAACTGCTTAATCTCAACCCAAAAACTTTGAACAAGTAGAAAGCTGAAGTTTCAAGAAAGTTACTCGGTCACAAAAAAAAAAAAAACTTCCTGCACAGTTTTAGCTGAGAACAAAAACAACCCAAAACCCAGCTGTGTGTTTCTGAATGAGAAACGGGAATTTAACGCGTTACAAAGCACTGCTGTCGAGATTAAACAAGCAGCTCAGACTCTTTTAACCAGCAGCCCATGAGAAAACTAGCAACAGAAACAGTGAGAAATGCTCGGCTGGAAACACAATGAAACGTGAAGGGATCCCAGCCGCTTTACGCACCTCATTGTTCGGCCAGAGTGGAGCTCCTCTCCTGGAAGGCAACTTCGGATGACTTCAGCGGTGAAGCCCGGTGTTTACAGAGTCACAGCGATGAAATAAAAAAAACTACACCGTCCAAAAGCGGAGAGGAGGAGGGGGTGGGCGAAACAGTACATCTAAAGCCGCAAACAGGGTAGTGGGGATAAAGGAGCACACCTCGACGATTTCCTGGTTCTGTGGAGCGGGAGAGGAGGAGGAGGAGGAAGAGGTAGAGGAAGAGGAGGGGGTAGATACAGTAGTGAAGCGGGCTTGTCAACTCCAATAACTCTCCCACAGTGGGTTTCTACGAGAAAAAAAAAAAAAGAAGTGAAGCTGAGAAAATAGCGGCTGCCCAGAAAGCTTCACTTCCTCTTCTCCCACTTTCAGGTGTTTTTATGTTTGCAGCTGCGCTAAGAAAGGTTGAAATGATATACCTCCGCGGGGCTCTTTTTCGTTCACTCCGCGGCGCTGTCGGGTCACGGCCCTGCCGTGTGAATTCACGGGAGTCTGGCCTAACCCGCCAGCTTCAAAGTAATCCCAGGACGCATTCAAGTGTGCTTCGTAAAATTCCCTTTCACGAATTTAAACTGGGTCTTAGATTCATCTTTAAAGTCAATTTGATGTGGTAGTGCAGGTGCAGCTAAATAAACTAGAATGCCATCGAAGTAATAATTTATTTCAGCAATTCAAATAAAAAAGTGAAACTCATATAGATTTATTACACACATGTATGTGTACCTTCTGTATGACTTACATCTAAAAAAAAGTTTTTCAGAAAATTAGAATATTATGTAAAGCCAGTGAATATATTTTTAATACAGAAATGATACGGCTAATATAGTCAAGGAAAAATCTCTGAGTGATGCCCTCCACAATCAGGGTAAATTTGCGTGAGTTTCAATGTGACGTTTCCATCTTTTGTGATGATTTGAGGAACCAAATCATCCGATTGTTTTGGTTCAACGTACTTTAGGAAGTCCTAAGTCAGCAGAGCCGTCTACCAGCAATTTGCAGAACCAATGCTTTCTTCCACTAAACTTTATAGAGTTGCTGATTTAATATTCTAGAAGGCCTTTGCTTATGTCCAAAACTACAAATACTTGTTTTGAAGGCAATGACATCACTGTGCCTGACTTTAACTCCACAGAGAATTGAATCGGCCAGGGACACGGTTAGGCCTCTCACAAAAAGCAATAAATCATTTTATTGCATGATAAATTAAAACAAGCTCCATTTTCCATTTGCATGATTTATCGTGTTTCTCATTTCTCTCTATCTTTCTACCAAAAACTGGATGGCAAAAGTCTCGAGTCTGGTGCACTGGTCTCAACTAGAACTAGCCCATTTTTGGAAGGACAGTTTTGTTTACAAAGTCTTCATAATTCCTTTCATTTGTTGTTTTGTTTATTTATTTTGGATATTTAAAATGACTTCCAGTTCCAGTGTTAAACGCTCATTAGAATTTGAAGTTAAATGATCTTTGTGAATGTGTTCTTTTATTATTATGCCATTACTATTATATTACTTAAAAATGGTATCAAAACAACAGTATTATTGTTTATCGTACGGCAAAATTTGTTAATGTGACAGGCCTAGAAACCATATCTGAGAAGAGCTGAAGACCACTGCTAAAGTTGTTTTTGCATTTGTTAACTTGACTTGTGTGACAGTTCTAGTGGTCTCTTCAGGGCCCCCTATTGATTTTTGGGGCTTTTAGTAGCTGATTGATTTGCTTATTTCTTGTGCTGAGCATAATACTGTGTTTTAAAATGAGAGCAATAATATCTCTCACATACAAATGAATTAAAACAGCACAGTACTTAATCTGTGTTATTTTTTATATTTTCCAACCTTGATGACATATAACATTTTTGGTTTAGCATATATACTGTCAGGATTTCTAGAATTTATGGTGAAATTAATCTTATGCATACAAAAATAGCAACTATTGGTCAGCACAGTTTTAAATTTTATAGTATAAGTCAGTTGCTTCACTGAGATAATGGTCATTTAAAAAGTTATATTTATGTACATGAAGCTCACACTGAGTCAACTATAGCTGTGTCGACCATCCTTACTTCCTGTAAACAATGTTGTTACTTTATTACAAGTACCCTTAAACTAATGGCACAAGCAAAGTATCTACATTGTCAATTCTCACAATACCTTCACGAATGGGCACCCCAAATTCCAATAGCACATGAAGCCATCATTACATGCGAGGCTGGTCCATTATAAACTCTGCACATCACCCTACTGGCTGTTTGTGAAATTTCAAGTGTATCTTTTGTGACTCTTAAATATTCCACAGAAATGCTATCTGGTAGGAATATGGATCATGTTTTTATTCGACAAAAGCATGGTCTCAGTTTGACAAATAAAATGAAAAAAATAATGTTTTTTAAAATATGTTAAGTTATGTTAAAAACAGATGTCAGCAGCAATAAATAAAATAGGATGCCTCTCATGAGCCAGTCCTCAGTGCTGAGACATTGCCTGATGTTAATTGAAGTGGAAAAGAGGATATGAAAGGAGTGCATTACGTGTGTGGCATGTGCAAACAAACTGAAAGCTAATATGCCCAGTTTCACTACAGGCACACTCTAAGACATAGAAGCTTAAGCAACTGCTGGTATTTTTTTTTTAAAGCCATGTGTTCCCTGTTAGCTGAGCCAAGAATTTCAAACAAACCCCCAGTCGTTGTGCGAGTCTCTGCTCCCATGTGTGGATGTGTTTGTGTGATTTGTGGTGGCCCAGACTCAACAAGTTGGTTCTTTTCCCAGAAAGCGGCCTGTGAAGAATCAGAAGTAGACACACAGTAAGCTGAGGTTGCTCCTGAGCTCCTCCCTCTTTGCCACAGTTTTATTTCCACAACTTGACGTCAGTTGGTCAGTTTCGTTCGCAGGATGTGGAAGAATGTCAGCACATGATCAAAACTGGTACATTGAGAATTTACCAAAGCTTGGCTATTAAAGTTCACCTCTGTACCTTTATTGACTGATTGATTTATTTTTTTTTTTGGAAAGGCTGTTACAGACTGCACTTTAACTTACATTAGAAAGAGAGTACAGTGCGTTCCTGAGCCAGTGTATTACCAAGAAAATACAGATAACTGAACCTCAATCAAAGAAACAAAGCTCAGTCTGGATCTGATTTAATCAGTATAAACCTGAAAAAAAAAGGAAATAGGAGTTTTTCCTGACTTAGTACAGTTCCTTACAAAAGTTTTAACAGCCCTTGAACTTTTTAAATTTCCAGATTCACAACTGGATTTTTACAGGACTAAAGCATGAATGTGTTTTTGATCTACTATGTGATTGTTTAAACATTTTATTGAAGCCCTGGCTTTATGTGTAGGAGATTTAGTCATGATGCAAAATGTCATACTTTAAATCTTGCAGCTTCATACGGGGTTCTTCCATAATTGTTTTCAACTTACACTTCAATCTATTCTCTGCTGAAGAAGACACTGTCCTATATAATACATAATATTTGATGTATCTTTTAGACAGCTTGTGGTAAATAGGACTCTTCCTGGTAACACTTTATTTGAAGGGGTGTGCATAAGACTGACATCACACTGTCATAAACATGACATAACATCTGTCATGAACATAAAGCAGTCTGTATGACTGTTTATGACAGTTGTCATGAAGTGTCATTCGGTAAATAATGACACTTTTAATGCAAAGTTGCTCTAAAAGTTGCATTGAAAGTCCATTAAAAATGCCAACTTTGCATTAAATTATCATAATTTACAAAATCATGCAAAGTTGGCATTTTTAATGGACTTTCAATGCAACTTTTTGAGCAACGTTGCATTAAAAGTGTCATTATTTACCGAATTACACTTCATGACAACTGTCATAAACATTCATAAAGACTCATTCATGTTTATGACAGGTGTCTTGTTTATGACAGTGTCATGTCAGTCTTATGCACAACCCTTCAAATAAAGTGTTACCCTTTTCCTTCCTACATTTCAACAATGGCACACCTGAGCTGTGGATCTGTGCAGCTCCTACAGAGCTCTTGGCTGCTTCACTGTTTAAAGCTCCCCTCATCCATAAACTGAAGCTAATATGCCCAGTTTAATTGGGCACATTCTCAGATAGACTCGTCCAGCCTTTCAGTTTTGCTGGCCACATCTTGGTAGGTCTCAAGTAAAGCCATATTCTTTTTATTATCAGATCAATCATAGTTCTGTAACCTACAACCGAGACGTTCAAAGCTTGGAACTTTTTTCTGTAGCCTCGTCTTTCTTCAAATTTCTGTACAACAAAAAATAACAAAGAGGTTAAGAGGTTAAGTCAGGAGAACAAATAAAAACAGAAAGTGTTACTTTTCCTTCCTATGATTGGTGGAAAGGGTCTAAGTATCGTTGAGCTCCGCACATTACATTTACATTCCAGTAGGTGGCACCACAGCCTAACAGAGCATGTTGAAGACACTGTGGCTAAATGTCAAGAACAGCAAATTTAGTACTAAATAAACAAATGTTCATATTGGAAATCTGAATCTGTATTTCACCCATAAAACATTTTGCATGGAATAAAATAAATATTGACATGAAATGAATATGAATAAAAATTAGCCAAGTTACAGTATATTTGAGTATATACAGGTACATACAGTATGAGTCAATAAATAACATTAATGAAGATTGAATACCATATTATAAACACCTTGGGGAATCTAGTGTGTATATTTTGCAAAACTTATTTAGGTTTAGCAGGCATGACCTGACCAAAATCAAGTAATTTCACTGGGCTGATGTGTTATTCTGAATTTTGATACAAAGATTTAGATTTCTTATAATTAGGGGAAATGTATTGTATATTTGACTGCAGTACTGCTTGGTTACTCAATAGATACATTTAGTATTTCTATATTTAAAGCCCATATATACTGTACAAAAATTTCAGTACTAAAATATGACTCTTTTAATTTTTTTAAATAATTTTGGTTTTTGCTATAAATATGTGTTCTCCTAAAAACTGGGAATTAATAGGCAAACACGGGCCTCAGTTGATTTTGTCTTTGGCCTTGTGTATCAACAGTAATGCAAAGTTAATATTTCAAACAGCCAGAATAAGACCAGCAATAAGACAAGAACAGATCCTCGGATTCTTGTTTCACCCTCTTTCTCAGGTGGAGGGGTGTTTGTTTGGAGACCAGGTCTGGGGGTTCATACCCGTGATCACTGTCATTTACTTTGTTGCTCTGCGTCTGTGCACTGCACTTTATTGTGATGAATGAACACAGTGTTTGTGTTTACAGAACTGACACCTCCTTCTCCCGCCGGCCCCTCCACCTGGTCCGTCGGCCCCGACACCCGGACCGTGGCTCTGCTTGAAAACAAACTGTGACGGCTGCTCCGGTTACAGGAGCCCGATCGATGCACTGCCGGGTGTCGCGTTGCTCGAAGGGGATGAGTATCGCTGCATGGCCGATCGCTATCATAATCACACTTCCCCTCCGTTATCGCTTACCTACTGAATAAAACATCTGCCTTCCTGCCTGTGGATCACCCACCACCCCAAAATCTGGAGGGATGGCAGCTTCTTCTTTGAGTGTCTTTGAGATGAGTGAGGTAACTTGAGGAAAGTGGACAATGATACCCAACAAATTAGGTCCCCAAAGTTGTTTTTATCACCGGCATCTCCAAATAGACCCGACCGGCTTTCGACAGGGTTTGTCTCAGGATGCTGAAGCGTCACGTTTCATTGTTGAGATGTGTCATTTGACCCAAAACAACCTTTAGATGTCCAGTTTTTGATAAAGTCACTCAAAAAGGCGCATCTCATCGGCTGAGCTCAGCCAACATTTGGATCGCACACATAAAGCAGCGATCAATTGTGTTTTAAATCAAAGGATTTGAAACACAACTCTATCGTTGTCTGTATTTTTCTGAAGACCTGTTCCCTTTGTTTTTAAGTTTTCTGATTGTTTTGTTTCTCTGACTCTAAATTCTGTCAAGTTCTCCCTTCTTTTCCTTCTCATATTCCCGAACATTCATGTAGATAATTTTATCATGTGTTTATACTTCTTTTCAGTCGATATGCACCCTTTACTTTGATCTTGTTTCCATGTGTCAGCGTTTTCTCTTACAGATTTTCTCTGTTTTGGGCACAGTTTTCATGATGGTTTTATTTCTTAAGTGAAAAAAAATCTCTGCAAATCATTCTGGTGTATGGAAAAAAGTATTTTCCCATTTTGTTAAAGGATTTATTATCTATAGCTACTTATCCATGCAGGCTCCTGGGGCTGGTGCATGTCTTCAGCATGTCTTCACTGGGTGAGAGACAGTGGACATCCTGGAGAGGTCACCAGTCCATGGCACGGCAACACAGAGACAAACATAAAAACAAACAAACAAAAAAAAACATACATGCACTCCTAAGGAAAATGCAGAGAGGGCAATTTACCTGATATAGATATTTTTTGAAGGAAGCCGAACTACCTGGAGAGAACACACACATGCATGGAGAGAACATACATACAACATTCAGCAATATCCCAGACTGGGATTTCATCTCAGCATCTTCTTACTGTGAGGCAACAGTGCTAACATCTCCGCCAGTATAAAGGCCATCTTTTGCAGTAATTAATGTTTTCGGAAGGCTGAGTTTTGTTTCAGTGGTCACAAACTGGCCTGATTACTATTTGGGCTGTAGAACCGAGAAACCACTTGCACAGAAACTTTCTGACAACGTGAAGAAGGCTAAGCAATCTCTAAGCACAACATCACATCACGCATCAGCATCCCCTAACATCTGGTATTAAACTAAAACTTTACAGAAAAGAAGCACAGCAGCACATCTATCTCTGAAGAGGTAACAGAAAAAAGTTTTGGAGTTTCACTAATCACTCCTTTGACCCCTGGACTAATGTGGGCACTGCTCAGGGCCAGTTTATGTTTTGACCGTCTCCATTCAAGAACAAGGATACAAATGACTGAAATTAGCTCTTCCAGATTGGTGGCTGGACTCAGCCTAAAAACAAGTTAAAGACCTCCATCATCAGGTAGAGCTGCCATTTCTCCTAATTTGACTGAGATGATTTGACTGTCGGATGGGAATGCCTTCTCTACTTCTCTGTTTGCAGGTTTTCTCGACCCAATGCAGGGGAGCCCTCACTAGACCCCAAATCTACTGGAAGAACTGCATATGAGCCAGAGACTCTGGAGAAAATGATGTCTGGGTTTCCCTCATGGACCTGCTGCCACTTAATCTTGAATAATTAGAAGATGATGGATGGATGGTCTATTTTAAGACTTATTTTAAGCCAATGTTTTGTGTGATCTAAAACCAGTCGCACAGTTTCAGGTGTTCTGACATTCTCGTGGTTTACCTTCATTAAATCTACAATCCAACAACACATCTGTAAGGCAAATAGGCTTGGATCTCTCTTTTTAGCTGACTCCATGTTAAATGTGGAATGACAAATTTAATTCTAAAAGTACTGATTTTTCTAGCTGGACACTTAAAAGAAATAACTATATTTTTCCCTAAACTACTAATTCCCAAAATGTTAAGCATTCTTTTTCAGGATGCAAATCCTTTTGCTCCATTTTTGTATAATATATGGCATTAAAACAATTAAGCCAGCATTAGTTCTCCAGTGCTATGAGTACATTATTTGATCGTAAATAATATCCTTTTTGGGGCTTCCACAATACTTGTGAAAAATCCACATTACAGTCTCATATTTACCGGCTTTCCTTGGGCAGCATATGCAACAACTTGTTTCCCAGCTCATGCTACATGATCTCTCCTAAAATGCCAAAGACTTGCCGTGAGCATAACTTCGACAGACAGTCATGTGGGCTCAATGCGTTTGAATCTAGTGCACAGACTGGCTCTACTGATGCAGTCCTCCCTCTGGCAGGCCTCACCTGGATGCTGTAAATCAGCTAGGATATGTTGTTCACACACAAACACTCTACAGGTGCTAACCTCATGGGCACCCCGGTAGTGTACGGGTCAAAGATCTGCAAAAAGCTGAGAAAACCCCCCAAAACAAAACGTAAGAGTAATGATGTAATCGTTAGAAGCAAATACACTGATTGTGGACACATATAGGTCCTAAATAAAAGCCCTCCAGATAAAACAGGGCCAACACAAAGACCAATTCAGCAATCAATGCTCAAAAGGTTTAAAATACACAAGCACTTTATTTATTTACACTCAACCACTGAATCTGAGAGCACCAAAGCGTGGAGGTTAGACGCCAACTGCCAGAGGAGTAAAGCGACACTAGCTGTTGAGCTATTAGGCCAATTAACAAAGTGGTCAGAAGGGGCCGGGGTGGCAGAGGAACAGCCTGAAATGGAGAGATGAGGGTGTGAAGTGACAGTCAGCACATCTGGTCTCATCAATAATGCAGCGGGCCTTTAAACGGCAGTTTGTCGCATGTTGAGCGCTGCAGACTGAAATCAAGCCTGACACCCAAGATGCTGTCAGGGGAGAGTAGAAGAGAGGAAGAAAAGAGGGAGGAGGAGGGTAAGAACCCTGGAGGGAAAAAAATAACTTTTCGCTATTGTTTTAATGCATTCGTGTGATGCTATGAACTCTGAAAGAGCAAGGTGAAACTTAACTTAAATAAACCCATATTGATGGAAAAAGAAGCGTCAACTGAAAAGATAAACACCAACAACTTCAGCATTTATCTATCATTTTTATTATAAAAAAAAAACAAAACAAAAAAAACAAATCAAAATAATCAGCACATGCTGCACCTAACCTCTTGAGACACAGTGTTGTCAACAGTTTTTCTGTCTCAACAGTGTCCACAACATCCAACATCAAAAAGGAAAAACAAAAAAGGTGAAAATACATCAAACCCCTGCCTTCAAAACCTTCCTACAGGTGGAACCCTTTAAAAGTTCATTTTCCTGTGATGAGAGGATTTCTCAGGACGACGATCACAGAGTCTCCTCTGAGGAACATTTTAGAAATGTAGCGGTCCTTATTGACGGGCTTTGACTTCTTCTTTCCCTTCCCGCTTTTGGGAACCTCCGTCCACATCTCCTTCACGTTCTCCAGCACCATGTTACAATGCCTAAAACGACAGAGTAGATGCGGAGTGTAAAGACCTCCTCTTCAAAAATTAAACAGGATAAAAAAAAATAAAATAAAAAAAAAACATTTTATTTTGCACTGCCACACCACAAATTTACCTAAACTCCAGAGATGTATGTGAGGGTTTCAGAAGGTTACGGTGCTAAACTAAAAAGTTCAATTCATAAAATCCCTACAGTTTAAAGCCTCTTTGCTGAGAGGGCAGAGAAACTAACAATGTCTGATGTTTTCTTCAGCTAAATAGCATGCTACCCTTCCCCCATCTGTTGTTGCACAATACTCATCAAATGGCAAAAGAAGGCTCTTACACCTTCCCATTACTTACAAGTAATACCAATAGGCATGAAAAACACAAAGAGCTATGATGTAAAATTAAATTCGTACCATCCATGTGCTAAAGCAACTGTAAGGTAGTAGCAGCATGTTAATTAGCACATTGAAGTTCTCACAGAACCAGCTAGCCTCATTAATATACATGTGCTAATATCAACTTTGTATTCTTCAAAAAAAGATAAATAAGCAAGAGAAATATATATTCTGCACATTAAGCACTTCTAAAAAAAACTAAAGATTAAATCATGTTCCATAATCTTGTTTAAATGAAGCCATCAACAGTCATTTACTGGCAGCTTTTCCTCCTTTTTTAAATTGGTTTTATGTTTACAAGATTTTTCTTCACGCTCAAACACCTTTATCCCTAGACCTCTGCGGTTCTTGCGCAATCCTTAAACATTTTTAAGCAGGCACAGTGTGTACCCTGGGGCCTGTTTTGTGAGTCACTGGGTACCTGTCAAAGGCTTTGACTCTTCCAAGCAGTTTCTTGTTGTTGCGACAGTTGATGAGGACCTGAGTGTTGTTCTTCACCGACTGGGTGAGCACTGACAGCGGCCCGGTGTTGAACTCTTCCTCCTCACGTTTTTGGAGCTCCTCAGGGGTCATCTCCGATTTGGGCTTTGTTAACAGACTCCTGCAAAGGACAGCACACAGTAGTAGCTATTTCAGACCAACTCAGAAAACTTGGTATCGGCATGCTTCTCAGGTAAACCTTCAGAAAAAAACTGATACACCTATAGATTTTATAATATAATATTCGTTCAGCATGTTTTTAAATGTGCCTCATGCCTAATGGACTACCAAGATGAACTAATTTGGTAAAATAAAACATACTTTAAAAGGCCCAGCATGGCCGAGTCAAAGTTGAAAAGTCCAACCACGGTCATGTGGTTGCAGGACATACGTTTTCACACACACCCTTCAAGGTCCACAAGACACACCGAGCAGAGTTCTTGTGAAACCCTCCTGCTGCAGTGTACGTCATGGGGTTTTGTCATAGGTGTGGCTTACAACAGTATAGTAAACACAGCAGTCAGGGCAGAGAGCATCACCTATTATAAGAAGTTCACAAACTCAGAGGTGGAGGAAATAATAACTGATGAGTTGAAACATTTAATTTTATTTTCTATGTTGGCGGAAAACAACAGAAAAAGAACAGAATGCATCAGTGGGACGTTCGCCCGCTGCATCGGACCAGAATCGAGCTGGGGAAGTTCAGTGTTTTGATCCAACAGTATATACTTCCTCAAGGCCTCAGAGAATTGCTCCTCAAAACTATCAGTCAAACTCTCTAGCTTAAAAAGAGGCTTCTGGAAGTTGAGTAGTTGGGTTGGTTTCTCTGTAAACACACCCATGACCAATCAAAAAGTTGTTTGGCATGCAGAGGGCACCAAAAAGTTCATCAGGGTGTTGTGACAAGAAGTGGACGACATGAAGCTGAAAACAAAATGACACAATTTTCAGTTATGTAACTGCGACAACCAGAACTGATTTCGGCACATCGCCCTGACCATGCTGGGCCCTTTGGCCCCAACAACAACTTGTCCTTTATGATTTTAAAATGCTTTTATTCTCTTAGTTTTGGATCTAGAACCATCATGAACCATGATACGCTGTCATTTGCATAGATCACTATAGGGCTGGACAATATCAAAGACAAAAAAATTCCACATTTTCCTCTGTTTGCCAATGCAATGCTTCCACCTCTGCAACTTTTAGCATTCTGGGAACTATTCTTTGTGTCAGATTTTGGTATCTGCTGCTGACGTGAAACTCTATCCAAAAGGATAAATAAATATTCTAAAATTTTAGAATAAAATTCTAGAATATCCCTTTTTGGCACAACGCTCTCAGATTAAAACAATCTCAAATGAGCTGTAGTAAACATGACTGACTGGCTATTACGAGTGAATTACCTAAAACTTCATTTCCACCGTTTTTTTTTTTTTTTCGGTATCTTTCATTTTAAAAAAAAAATTACATTATCCCAGAATATAGACTATATAAATGGCTTTAAAAAAAAAAAAATAATAATCCCTTAATGTTCAACGTACACATATTTCATTTCTGACGGAGTTTTTAGGAAGCTTTTTTGTGTTAAGTAGTTTGTTTTAACTCTTAAACCTACATAATGAACATGAATTCTCTGTCCCTTTCTAGCATTAACTGAGCTTACTACAGGTTGACTCAACAGAGACGTATCGTTCCATTTAGATACATTTGGTCTGTACTTTAATCTGAGCAAAAGATAATGAAATAAAATCCATTTTACAAGATCAACCATTTTTATTTACAGTTATAGCTAGGTAGATAAGACATAGCTCACCCAACAACACAACCAGCATTTAGTCGAGCTAACTAGCCTCTGTGCTGAAAAGGCTAACTTCATTAGCATTAGCCTAACTGCAAGAAGTTACTACTCATAGCAAAAGCTCTTGGAAAAACAATAGCATTTTACTGCATTTTACTAAAGACGACTTGCTATAAATCATACTTACATTATTGATAGACTATAGAGTCAGTCTCTGTAATTAATACAGCGCTAATCTCCACCGGTAGCTTCGTAACGACAACGATACTGCCTGACTCGCGTGTTCGAAGTCACTTCCGGGGTTACTTGATACGCGCTTGAAGCTGTTGGTATAACTACCGGGTTACAGCAGATCGCCTCTCATTCAAGAGCACAGAACTCTCTCTCTCTCTCTCTCTCTCTCTCTCTTTTTTTTTTTTTTTTACTTTATTTGGCGTAATTCTCACTAAGTCCCGACAAACGTTTTTCAATTTTTCAGTAATAATGTGGATGTTCTTTTTATACATTCGGGCTTTTTTGAGTTATTACATAACAGGTGCTGCTTTTTTACACATCAATCGCATATATGATGAAACTAAATTGTTTTTCGACTGGTAAGTTTTAAATGTACCTTACTATACTGCTGCTGCTGCTGCTGCTGCTACTACTACAACTACAAATATATATTTTTTTCATTTAAAATTATAACAGTGACTTCATTTATTGTAATTCATTCATTAATAAAAATCAGTCTTGAATTTGAGTAGATTTATTTAGTGGAGAATGGACGTGAACAAATAACTAAAGGAGGGACGGGGGTAACAAATCACTGTTTAATAAGGGTTGAACAAAAGGAAAGAAAAATCTTTGACCATTCTGTTTTGCATAGTCAATGTCATGTGGCTCCTTTCTTATGCTTTATTCTGTCCTCAGTTCACTAGTGTGTTTAATAGCACATTTGTGAAGGACTGGTTGAATGCATTATTTGGTAGCATACAATATTGTCTGCATCGTTTCCCACGTTTACTGTGTTCCCTGTTGCTTGTGGCAAACCACAAAATGGCTTTTTGAGAATAACATCTTTTTATTGCCACTGTGTAGTGGAAAGATTCTCCCATCTGAGCTGTCAAACTCTGCAACTCCTCCAGAGCCTCTTGGCTACTCTCTGATTACTACTGACCTCCTTTCCCTACCTGTCAGTTTTGGTAGGTTCATGTTTGTGCCTTAGTTATTTAACTTTCAGATAATGGGTTGAGCAAATTCTTATTAGATGTCGAAAGCTTGGGATATTATTTTCTAAGCTAACCCTGCTTAAACCTTTTCCACAACTTTGTTCCTGACCTGTCCACTGTGCTCCTTGGTCTTCATGATGCTGTTCACCAGTGTTCTCATGCAAACATCCGAGGTCATCACAGAAAAGCTGGATTGAGGTTAAATTGCATGCAGGTGGTCTTTGTTAGTCTGAATGCCTTGGGTAGGACTGGATTTAATTTGTTAGTAAAATAATGGAGAGGACTGAATATATATTCATGTCAAATCTTCCTTGTACTTTTTATTTACACACTTCTTTTGTTTCACAAAAAAATAAACTGCTGTTTGTTATTGCAATGTGAAACAACATCACAGTTTGAGTGGTATGAAGGCGTTTGTGCTCCATTATGTTAAAAATAATAAAAAGATGTTTAGAATCAAAAGCCGAATTTCTCCATTTTCAGTGTGACATCACGGAACTGCGACAAAAGATGAATTTGACTTTAAGACGTCTTTACAGAGGTGTTAATAAAAGTGACAAGGATTTCTAAAGTAAAATGTAAGAAAAAACAAATCAGAGGTCTTTATAGATAAACAAGAATTCACCCCCAAACAGTGGGTGGGTGGGGGGGGGGGATGAAAACAATTCAGAGTGAAACAAATACGCAATTTTTGTATTACAACATTCGGACAGATGACAGAAAATGAATTGATTTTATCTGTCGGAAATGTTCTTCTCCTATCCTCAGGAAGATTTCACATACAAAAGACACTGTTAACAGTTTGTTTGTAGCTGGTCAATGTGTCAAACACAACTTCAGGCAATTAAGTTCTGTGACATTTACTTTAGATGTTATGTTCTAAAGCCACTATGCAGATTTGTCTCACATTGGTAGAAAATACTTAACAGGCCTATTATTCCAGTATTAGCTGAGATTAATTTTTCGAGTGTGAGGACATGTTTCAGAATGAACCTTTTCTGCATATGAACAACCCAGAGGAAATAAATAAGGATGAGCGAGCAGCTAGGTTGATACTGCAATCCAAACAGTTAAGCCTTTGTTATGCTCTTTAACAGAGTAACAGGAAATCGTGAATGTGAGTGTGTCTGTTAGACAGAGTGAGAGAAATGGGGATGTATGCTACGGTGAAGCAATGAGACACTAAGAGATTGGCTTTCTGGCAAGAGACAGACAGACGCCTATGGGTGCACAACCCACCCACCTTGTTCCAAAGGTTACACATCTACCTGAGGAAATCACTTACTGCAGATAAAGGCAGGCTGTGTGTTGCTGAGGGAGGTGAGTGTGTGGGATTGATTTTCAGGGTGCACGGTTCTATACCTTTATGAAACGCACCATAGCCAAGAGACTCAAATCTTAAGAAGTGGAGAGCTCAGCGTTACCTTGCAGCTGATGGGACAGCAGAAGCTAATCTGGAAACACTTTTCAACTGCCTAATTAAGAGAGCAACAAGCATTAAATCAGATGGGCCAGACAAAGATTTATTCAGCAGAACTATCAACATATGACACAACCTGGAAATCATGTAGGATTCATTTCAAAACTGGTTTCCTGCAGAAAAAAAGGAAACATGATGAACTTTTTTTTTCCAGCATGGATTAAATTTACAGAACCCTCACAGTCACAACATGTTTGCTCGGGTTGGGCAGTGGGGGTGGGGGGGAGGGAGGGTTGCTGCAAAAATCAGTCTATTAACTAGACAACTTTTTTACCAGTTGAAATTTCAAAATTATCTCAATTTGGAACTGGGATGAAGCTGGAATCTATGTAATAGGAAGCATTCATTTTATTTGAATTTGAGCAGACTGGATTCTCAATGACTGCACCGTGGTGCAGTTTGCCCAGTTGCTCTGCAGCAAGAAAAGTCCCGTATTTGAATCCCGACCAATGAGTTTCTGCATGGAGTTCTGTCACTCACAGTCCAAATACGTGCACACAACATGCACGCCCTGCTTTTACGTTTTTTATTTGTGCAACATTTTTGAATGTTGTATTTTTTCCATCAACCCTTATAAAAGACTGCAATAGAAGACTGAAGTTAGAAATTTTACAGTAAAAAACAACAAACAAACAAACAAACAAACAAACAAACAAACAAACAAAAACATAAACGTAAAAAAAAACCGCTGAAGGGTTATTAAAACTTTTTTCAGTTAGAGTGAAGCATATCCCCCTGCACTTTTCAGAACGCAACATAAACATTTTGCTGTTTTGATGTGCAAGGAGAACCAGTAACAACTTTCTAAAGAGTCGACAACTTGGTATTTCCGTCATTTTCAGTTCCCTGTCAGCACAGACATCAGCACCAAGCTCTGTTCATGAAACAATAATTAGCTCAGTATTTACGTTTATCAGGAGACCTGTTACAGGAAGGTGATTAGCAGAACTAGATCTTCTTACATCTGCTTTTGCAATTAAAACACAGCTTACGCCTATAGATTCCCACCTCTGTCCTCCTCACCAATACCGCCCCCCCACCCCCCGCCGCCACAATTACTCATACCACTGATGAAAATATTCACCTGCATCTATCTAGACAGCGAGTTTGCCAACAGTGAAGTTACCTGATCCAGATCCGTCTGCCTTAACCACAGAGCGACTGTGACTGACGGGCTGATGTCTTTCCACATAAAAGAGCTTTTGTTTAAAGACGAGGCAGCCGTCCAGGGAGAGGTGCTCTAATCTGTTTCCCCAAAGATCTCATTTGGTTTTTTTGTATTAATTTGTGGAGGATGGGCGGCGGCGGAGGGAAGGTAAGGGAAAGTTTAACAGCCAGTGATAGAAAGACATAGCCAAACACTGATCAAGAAGATCTGCACCACTGGAAATGTGTCGTGTTTGATCACAGTCTCCTCACAGTTTCAACAACAACTGACACTATAATAATAATAATAATAATAATAATAATAATAATAATAATAATAATAATAATAATAATAATAATAGACTAACATTTCACTCACAGGCTGCTATTCATATATTTCATATATTACTTTAAACGTGTAATTTAGTCCATCTGTTTCCCTTTTGCGGGCTCAAACCTCCAGAGTGAAACGCTTAATAACAAAGCCAAATAGGAACAATCAACAACAGCACAAGGCTTTAATGAGGAGGGAAGAAAACACAATTTAAAATGCATTATTTATCGTTTAATTACATGTAAAGTAATTAAAGTAGGAATGTAATATAGTTTTTTTTTGTTGCAACAGCGGTGAAACCGAATAAGTGCAGCAAATGAACAATTTTAAATTTCATAATGTTTGTGCAATCAGCAATCTTTAATTTTACAATTATTTTTTTGGGCTCTTTTTAGCTAATTCAATTATTTTCTTTGAACTAGACATTTTTCTTGCTGTTTTGTAGTTTACATTTAGCCTATGCTCCTTTAAAAACAGCATTCATACCTGAAATATGTCGCTGAGCAGGAAGGAACCACTGCAACTGAACATTTTCCTTACTGATGTCCCTTTTGCATCTATACACCAAACGTGCGCACAAAACTTCGAACACACCCAAGCGAATGCGTGGGAAATAATAACACAGAATACACGATAACAATGTGTGTTTCAGCCAGAAAGTGTTGCACTATTAGTTATTTTTCTATTTTTAGATAATTTCTATGTCTCATTTATAAAGTTATTAAATATAATTTTGCGCATTTGTTTGGAGATAAAGGCGTGCGTAATCAGTTACTGAGGCACAACTTAAGTAGTGTAAACACCAGGAGCCTGTTTTATTTACAACATATTGCATGGCATTAATAATCTTCGAGTTGTATTTCCATCTTATACTAAATCACTTAAAATTAACGCAGGTTATTCGTTCATAGCAAAACTTTCAGCAGACATACACTTGTCAGTTTAGGTTGAGTTGGTATTTCTTCAATTTCTGTTTTCATGAATGCTACATTGATGTTATTTTTTTCTGTTCTTCCAACGTATTCTCATTTTTTTATATCCCAAAAGAAGGGCTTGAGCTGACTTGAGGGCAGTAATTCGGAAAGTCAGTACAATATCCTCCCAGTTCTGAGTGCCCACTCTTGGATAAAAGTTGTCCAGTCTTGGAAGCACCGCACTCCTCCGGACACGGACTAAATGCTGCTGCGCATGGTATTTGGTGGGAGTAAAAGTAGCTGGCCTGTCCGGAGATCATGTTAAATGAGCACGGGTCCGAGAAAGGCAGGGTGCATGCGGGGATGGACGTGGCGGAGAAGGAGGCGCAGGCGGAGCCGATCTGATGGCGCCGTGACTGCGCGCAGCTGACTCCGATGTAGGACATCTCCTGGCGCGTCCGCACGAACCTGTCGGCGTCTGCAGTGCTTGTTGCACTCAGCCGGGTCTGATGAGAAACCACCGAGGCAGCGTGGTTGGACAGGCGCGGCCGACCGCGTTGGTAGGTCGCCGCGCCGACATGAGCGCGCACCGGTGCTTGAAGAGGAAGGAACGGCGGCACCGGCCAGTAGAACGAGCTTGCTGCGGCTAACGTAACACTGGCTGCCGTGTTGGGGGGCATCAGTCGGCCACCCCCTCCTCTCTTCAGACCAAGTTTGCTCCTGGAACTGACCGTGGCTCTGCGCCGGAGTTTCCCAGACGTGCCGCCGATAAACACATCGTCACTGCAGGGGTCCAGCATCCAGTAGTTGCCCTTACCGGGGTCGTCGTAGTGCCGCGGCACCTTAACAAAACACTTGTTCAGACTCAAGTTGTGTCTGATTGAGTTTTGCCACCCCTGTCTGTTCTGTCGGTAGTAAGGGAAGTTGTTCATGATGAACTCGTAGATGCCGTTGAGCGTCAGCCGTCGCTCTGGACTTTGGCGGATCGCCATCATGATGAGCGCGTTGTAACTAAAAGGAGGTTTCTCGGGCTTGACTCTTTCTTCCTCTCCTGTTTTCTTTGCTTCCCTTTTATTTTCCTCTCGCTTCGGAGGTTTGATATCCTTTTTAGCGCTTAGTTTGGAGTTTTCGCAGCTTTTGTCGCTGTCAAAGTTCTCCTCTTGACAAGTTTTCTCAGAATGAAGAGGGCGAGAAGAGGGCGAGTCCTGGTCGTCCACCATCCCTTCTCTTCTCCACAGCAGACTGCTGATGCTGAAAGAGGACTTGTGGAATAATCGCTCCGGAGTTTTTAAATCCCCCATCTCCATCTGTGCGCGCAGTTGCCTACAGTCGAGCTGTCCGTGAAACTGCGGGAGGGCGCGTCACTGAGCGCGTATAGAGCAATGATGAGCGGATTCAAAGTGGTGACGAGCTAAGGACGCGCTGACCAAAACTTGCCAACACATGCGCATGATAGCAGCAGCACCGGCAAAGCCGGGCCAAGGTATAAGCAAACTAAGCCCATGGCGAGTGTGTTGCAATTAAATCGATCTTCTAAATCAAAGATGAGCCTTTGTTTTAATATCTTTATGACAATTTCCTAAATAGTGAATTTCAAAGGTTTTAGAATCGATTTAAATGTAAATATTACGAAAAATAAACAGCGTGACAAATGTTTAAAGGGGAATCTTGATAGGGTGGTGATAGTTATGCTCAGGCAGTCACTAATGCTACAAGTTTAGTGACTTTCATTAATTATGGTTACATTTTCTGCACTCTGGTTCCCATTTATTAAACATTTGTGAAAAACAGGATCGTTTTAATGCTCATTTCAGTTCGGAAGACATGTTTCAATCTCACACATGCTTTCAGATTTCCACAGGTGTGAAAGTCAAGCTGCATATGTCTCAGAAATACACTGATGTGAAAAGATCACATCAGTGTAATTAAGTGTAACTTTTGTTCTCTCTGTCTTACTAAAAGATCGTAAACCAATTTTTAATATATTTTTTTTGCCAACCATTATCAAGGTAAACACAAAATCACTTTTTAGAAATTTTGGAAGAGATATTTCTAAGGGCCTGGGACTCAAGTGAGCCACAATGAGTGCAAACATTCATAAATGAAGAAGACATGAAAGAGTGGTGAAGCATACCTAAACCCCACCAATATTCTTAAATACCTTTTTACAGTACTGAGTTAGTCAAGACTTAAGCGTAACCACATACTTTTATGTTTATTTGTGTTTTTATCTTTTTTTTTTTTAACAAAAGATTTAATTTAAGCAGTTGAATCTGAAGATCACATAGATCGGTTGGAGAAATGTTCCAATAGCTGGCGTTAAATTGTGTCATTGGAGTGACTTTTTACGTTAAATATGAGTGGAAATTTACGAAAAGTCCTCCTTATGTGACAAGACAGAGGATGCTGAAGGAGAATAACTTTACACTTTTGAAATCAGAAATGTTCTTTTTCAGCTTTAACTGAGATGATATTGTTAAACAAAGTTGCTATTTGATTCTGGACTTTGTTTGGCATAAATTGCGGACCAAACATTAAGTACTGCTGTAGGTGTTTGTGTGTAATTGCACACAGGAAGCTCACATTCATACATGGGCCAAAGAGGAGAGGTAACTTGGGGATCCTGAAGGGGTATTGAGAAACCCTTAGGTCAAATGGAGAAATCCTGCTTTACATTTGTGACCTAATTTTGGGCACGTGCAGCATTGCACAATATTATGCTGGACAGTTAGTTTTAACGTGATAATTTCAAAATAATAAACTGACATAAATAAAAGTATTTCTATTATGTGACTTTTAAATACATTCTGAGATGAATGGGATTAAAATATAACATCTGCAGACTTTATTATTTTTTTTACATGCAAAACTATATTAAAGGTTAGGATGTTGCCACCTTCACATGTGACAGATGTATTTTTTTTACTATCTTTTGTTTTTTAGTATTGTAAATACTGTGGGTGAGGTCATCCAATTTATGAAAAGAATATGAGAAAACATTTACATCAAGACTATTTCAAAGCATCAGACCTCTGCGAGAGTGTTTTCCATGACAACTTTACCCCCAAATCTACCCCAGTTTTGATGAGGCCGAGTTTGAAACAATACAAACCCAAATATTTGTGATTTACGATAATTGTTCTGGAGAACAACTAAGTACACTTTGCCTCCTCCTTCTTCACTAACAACGCTTACAGGTCACACCATTGCAGGAGGTGCACACACACACACACACACACACACACACACACACACATGCAATATGAAACGTATTTGAGTGTCACAAAAACAAATTTGTTTTACAGCCAATTTCAGGAATTTGTTAATTCATTTTTCACACTAATTAACTATAAAACAAGTTGTGTTAAATGCAAAATGCGCCAATGATAATACATGGTCAATTCAAATAATAGACTAGAATTGCTTTGGTGACTGAAGCAATGTATCCAAACCTAATTTAATAGCAACATGAAAAATAACACATACCACAATGCCTAGCACAAGTTGCACCCAAACTGTAAACCAGACACTACAACCTGGAGAGAAACAAAGGTTCACGCTGTCAGTCTGCATGACTGATTGGTTGCAATTATAACACTTGTGATGAGGTGAAACTCAAGCTCTTCATACCCTCCTCTCCCTGGGGCTGGACTCACCTTCTCCTTATTTCTCCATTAGCATATGTACATCAGAGTCCAACTATTCATGATGCTACTGGTAATTTAATATGTTGTGAGCTATTGTACATATAATGTTGGATTTTAAATAGTTTTACAACCTTATTAACACCAAATCATACAGAAAACCTCAGACATTTTATTATTATTATTATTATTATTATTATCATGATCGTATTTTGAGATAATTTTCGTCCTATGGACAACAAGCCCATTATGTACATTTTTAAATACTGCTTCACAGTTAAACTGTTCAAACTACGTAATTCTGAGATGAAAAGGTTTTCGGTAGAAAGGGGGAAACATAAAGTTAAGAGATCTTCACACTTTTATGTGTTGGCATCCCAACTGCTTTGGAGGCTCTAAGTCACCTGCTGTCGCGCCCATATTTGAGTCCTCTAAAACGCATCCCGGGATTTAATTAAATTTTGCACACAGTTGCATAATTCTCTATGCGCAAAACTATTTTTTTGTGAGCGTTTGCGTTTGTTCAAAACTTCAATCCCTGCACTGAGTTGTCTTTAAAATATCCGAGAAATACGACCCAAATGGAGCTTTTGAAGATCTGAAGAATAGATCGGGATAGATTACAAGATACAAGAAGCGCAAATACTTTCATTGGGTGACCGATGCTACAAACTCATTTCTTTTGTTCTGAAAACAAATGTGCAATATAGACATATACATAAAAAAAATCCTTATTTATACATCGCACCGAAACTAGATATAATCAAGAGTGTTTGCTTGTTTGTTTCCATCAATCAGAATCCTTGTTTGAGTTTCACCATGCAGATATCATAATGTTTCTAACTACATGCTATTTGTTCCTGCTGTTAGTCACGTTGATACGGAGGCCTCTCTGCACTATCGCCGCGCCACACAAGTGAGAACTTGTCGGGAATGCTTTTGGCCCTGCAGAAAAGGCGCAGCGTTGCCCCAACAGCTGTAATCCTCTTGGATGTTTTTCCTCTGTCTATCGTATGAATTCACCTCTTGTTTTGTTTCGAATGATCTCAGTGACACCCTGAGAAGAGCATCGCTTTCCTAAGATTTCTTTTGTATTGAATTTAGCTTTATTTGTGATTCAGATGGTGAAAATTGAGAACTGATCTTTTTGCGTAGAGCGTAAAATAAAAAAAAAAAAGAAACACAAATCCTGCAACGATCTTACAATATGTTTTATTTAAAAACATATAATACATATATAAGTATATTAATTCATATTTTCCGGCACCCATTATGTTAGAATCAACAATTAAATAGTATTTTATAGTCATATTGTAGCTGGACGCAAGTAATTAGTCAAGTTAAAATAGTACAACAGAAAACATTGAGGTTTCTGTGTTGCAGATAAGGTGCTCCTTTCTAAGTCTCATCCTTTATCATTGCGCCCTCTGGTGGAGAAGCACAAACCTCACAGACGTCAAACAGGCTGAGGTATGATTCACCGTTTGGGTTTTACACGACGACTAGTGACAGGAAAGTCAGTAACACAAATAATCTCTTCATCACAGCATTTGTTAGTAGAACTAAGACCTTAAACAGCAAGAGAATGTGTTTCCTCAAAGTTGATAGGTGGCAGTCAGTCTCGCAGCAGCTATGAAGAGCCCTCTGACTAAAGACTGTTGCTGTATGACAGTCTCATGGCCGTCACGACACGCTACATTTTCAATTTCTGGGCAGCAGTGATGATATTCCATGGTGACATATCCCAAATTAGTTATCTTTAAAATATCTGAGAAATAAGATATTTCTAAGATGGGAGCACAGCAGTTGATGTGCTCCCATCAACTGTTGGGAGCACAATCTCTGTCTAGGCTAGGGTTAGAAAGCCAGGCAGAGAAACATTGGAGATGGGGATATGATCCCTGCCCATTATGATCGATGTGGTTTGATCAAATAAAAAACAGCAACTGTTGCTCAGATTCAGTCTATCAGAACTGGTCCCATTAGCAATGAAAGAAGGTGCGGGGGAAAGCAGTATATCCTGCTGCCTGTGGCCTCTTTCGCCACAATAATACGCTCTGTAGCAAAACAAAAGCTGTTCAGGACAAATTTGAGAAGCAAAAAAACATGCCTGAGGTATTGACTTGGCCTCCAGATTCCTCTGATTTCAATTCAACTGAGCACTTTTGGGATGTCTTGCCCAATCTTTGGAGTTTCCACCTCACAAGTTGCAGGAGAGTTTCAACTGCCAGTATCTTAGTGTCACGGGTTACTTGTCGTTGGCATAAAACGATCTAGGCGTTTTGACAGCAGCAGAGAAAAAAAAAATAGTTCTACCCTCATGACCCTGGTTAAGGGTCAAAATAAATTCATAGCTTAGTCTTCCCCTTCCTCTCTTTCCCCCAAGAGTTTTCTTTAGGCTGAGCTTCTCAGTTGTGATAGTGCAGCATAAAGATTTTCTCCAGGGCATTGCGTAGCTCCTAAATCCCTGTGGCCGTACAGGGCAAACTCTGGTTGGATGAAGCCTTGTAAAACTCCAGACACCAGCAGCTGTTTGACTGACAATATTGCCTCTTTGCTTGGTGTGTCATCTGAAAGTGCAAGAAGAAGAAGGTGGTCTTTATTATCCACACGTTTTAGAGATTAGTCAGCATTTAGTGTCTCTTTTCTGTCCCACTGTTGATGAATCCAAAAGAAGTGCTTACTGTTGAAATTGCCCATGAAAGCGATGCCTAGGGAGTCACCGTTGTGACCTTTGGTATGCGCTCCCATCACGCCCCAACCTCGACCCTCAAACAGACTCCCGTCTCCTCCAACAAGAAAACTAAAAAAAAAAAAAATAAAAAAATTACCACAACATATGTTCACTTCAAAAATTATGTTTCCTTAACGTTTAGAACGATAAAAGGAAAAATACTCACTTGTACCCAATGTCATCAAAGTGTCTTTCGTCCATGTGAAGCCTCTGGATGCTCAGAACCTCATCTGTACACTCTGCCAGGCCTTTGCAGCACCGGAGGGCAGTGTGGTGTATCACAACTCTCTGGGCTGGACCTTCCAGACTGTCCTTTTGCTTCGGGGCCGCTGCTCCCCACTGTTGCCTTGAAACTATGTTCACTGAACAGTAGATTAAAGATCGAGAGATGATTAAAATTACAGGTTGGTTTTTGACTAAAAATAAATAAATAAATAAATATATCCATATATAAATATATATACCTGTTTGTTCCATGAGGCTGAACACAGCAGCTTGTAAGTGTGAAGACTAACCAGGCAGCATACTGCACGCCTACCTTATTAGTTTGTTTAGGAGGGTGTGGTTATGGAAAGTACACCTCGCATGTTCTTTGTTGTTGCACGCAAACAAATGATTATGCAACAGATGTAGCTGCCAGAGTCATAGTCATACAGTTGCCCAACTAACTGGTAGAAATAAACATACTGGAAGTAAGGAGGAAGCGTAATTAAACATTGGCAGAATGTGACACACTCAGGCTGAGAAACTGGCAGTTTTGTTCCAGCACATCAGACAGGATTTCAAAAGTTCTTTGGAGTTTTGACAGGAAATCATTGGTGGCAATTTTGAAATGTTGATTTGTTTGTTTTCCCAAAGTAGGAAATTGGACAGGACTTTTTTAATGAGTAAAGAGTCAGAATACCTTTGTAATGTGATAAAGAATCAGGCAAAGACCATTCAGGGAATTTTTTAATTTTTTTTAAACAATAGCAAAATTTCTGAAAAAAAGACATTTTTCTTGTCTTCAATTATTCCAAAATTCAACAGTTTGCAAGCCCACAGCCATCATTTCTGAGATTCATCATGAGATCTGCCAGGGTTCTGTCAAATTACCCAGTGATGATAAAATACAGGACAAAAGTACCCACACGCTTTGAAATTCTTTATACTTTGCCAGGTTATAACTGAAAACTTCAATCCATCCTATTGGGATTTTATACGATAAAGCAACACATAGGAGTGCAACACTGTAAAGTAACTCTAAAGTTAAAGCTAAATAATTTTGAAGATCATGTATACTTTCAATCACCATGAACTCTTGATTGACAATTATCTGCTACTTTGTATACTTAGGTTTGTGGTTTTATTGTGAAATATATATTTTTTGCATGACATTATAGATAACTTCTGCATATCTGCAGGTTGAAGTGAACAAAGAGGACCAAGTCAAAACAGTTTATTTGCAAAAAATTAAATTGCAAAAATAACATGCATACAACAGCACATTCTGGCTTTGGATTTTTTTAATCAAGATCTTCCCAGACTTCCTTTTTTTCTGCATCTTTATTCACTGCACGATGATAAACCCAAGATTTTTTTTTTATTTGCTTTTGGTAAGTGAGTGGGAAGTCATAAACCATCATTACGGGAACAAAGTCCTTTTAAATCCAAACCAGATACCCTCAGCCATCACCTGTTAATCTTCCTAATGCAGAAAAATCCAGAGTTTGTACAGTCATTAGTGCTTAGTGGGTTTCTACTGGAACTCCAAACTTTCCTGGGTTGTATCGTCTACGTCCAGATTTAGTTGATTATATATTCATTCAGTCTGTCCACCACAGTTTGTGCTGCATTTTAGAAAACTTAATATATACTTTTTTCTCATGCGCATTGAGTTTGAAGATAAAAAACATTTACCACTAGAAATCTGTAAGTATTGCCCAAATATTAAAACAATGCACTACCAACAGATTAGAGATATTCAAAATTAATTTCAGACTTTAAATTAGACAAACAAAAAAAAGCATGAGGACTTCCAAAGTCTACTGATCCGTTTGGTGTGAATTCTCACCGTGATTTCACCATTTGCAGTAGTACTATTTTGGCAATTTTACTCTTCCGTATGAAATGACATGCAATTGACCACATGGAAAATACATTTGTTAGTCAAGATAAAGTACTGCGTCTTGATATTTGTAATGAAATGCATTACAACAGCGTTTTATTTTTGGAAAAACTGGAACGTCTCACATCGACAGAAATGAGGAAGTAAAATGTTGCAGTTTTAAAACTATAAATCAAGTGTACTTTACTGTTTAGTTACAATCTAAACAAAGGATTCAGTGGGTAGCATCAATAAACTGAAACTTCAACTGGGTTCAAAATCACAGTATCATTTCTTTTTTATATATATTTTTTCAAATCAAGATGTAAAACTAGTAAAACAACTTGGGAAAAGACATCCAACTTAAGTTTAAGAATTTTCCAAGGAAGGCAGCACATTAATATTTGATTCTGTTGGTTTGTTGTTGAAGCAGCTTATCTGTCTAAATCTAAGTAATTTCCCCCAGTGATTCAGAGATTAGGAAAATCCATCAGTCTTAGTGTGAGCTCTGACTTTAGGAAATAACACAGTCATAAGTGCTGAACAATGGTGAATGAATCCTGTTAAAGCATAAATCTGCCATTCATTTGGCTAAATCTTTGACTTTAAAATCATTTCTGTTAGTGCAGAAAAAGGATTATCACAACGATCTAACAGTAGATATTAAAGGAGGAAATACAAGGACAATGTGGACTGTACAGTACAGCTGAACTTACTGTTAATCTGCAAAAACCTCATTGTCAGCAGTTTTCATGCAGTCACAGGATTGAAAGTAATATTTACTTTGAGTTTTTTTTTGGCCTAGCCACAACATTTTAACAGAGTTTTGAGCAGATCAGCCCAGAAACTCCAGGTTCACCACTTTGATCCATCTCAAAACCAGTTTTGATTAAGTGTTTGTGTTCATCTGACTTTTAGAAACCCAAACTGTGTCAACATAGAATTTTCAGGAACTAAACGGGAACCACTAAGGTCTGCAACCTACCAAAAACTGTCAAAATGGGGCTTTAAAATGCAAGAAAAACATTGTGGTGGCAGCATCATAAAGATGGTCTGTGCCACTAGTGGTACTGGTACACAAAGTTGACAGACTGATAAATAAGAAGGAATGACTTTATAATGTTCAACTTTTCAAACAGCTTGAATGTTGAAATGTATACAAAGTAAAAGTGAAAGCACTAAAACTTTTTGGATTACACAAACCAACTTAAATGAGCATCAATAATAAAACAATTCAAATATTCAGGCAGGACTATGCCAGAAGTTTGTTGATGGCTTAAAAAAAATTGCATAGATTCACGCACCATTTTCCCCATTGTTTAGTGGGGTATATGCGCAATTGCAACTCTTTGTGGATTAGAGAAAATCTTCCATGTTCTTCCTCTCACAAAAACAGTTTAAATTCAGAACATAAGCCAAGCTGGACTCAATGGTTCAATATTTTAAATAAAATGTCCTAAATTTAAACAAGTGCACTAAGAAAGTTTTGTGAAGAAATAACACAAGCTGAACTTTTTAATTTTTTTAATAAAAAAAAAAGTTTAATTACAGACCAAACCTAAAAACAGATTCTACAAATCTATAACTGAAACTGATCACTTCCAAACATATCCTATCCAGAAAGTGGTTGTCAGTATCAATATATATATATATATATATATATATATATATATATATATATATATATATAAATCCATCACATGGTTCCTACTTGCTTGGACCATTTGGGACTTGTCCACATGCTAGGGTAGAAATCCTGCCATTAGAGGCAAATGATGGAGCTCTTCATGATCGTACAGGTGCTACTCTGTCCACCGGTGTCCACAATGAGGGGCCGTGCAGACGTAATACAAACGCATAGCATCCTGGGAAGGGCAAAACACAGAATAATATAAAACATATACACAATCTTTGCATTTAACTGCAAGGGTTGTTTAATTTAGCAAGTTAATGTTGAAATTGTTTTTCTAATTTTAACATCAACTTACTAATTTTTCACTTCCAAAGCTGATAATTATAGACAGGTGCAATTGAAACATTTATTCAGCTAATTGTCTCTTCCCTGATTCAGATTGGTGTTGGAAGAAGAGCAGGCCTAGTTTTCTAGGCTGCAATAGTGAAGCCATTGTAGGTCATTTAATCAGGTGTGCAAAAACATTTATGTAAACATTGTTTTTCATCAAATAAGTTCAAAATATGTCAATAACATCCAATGAGGAACAACGACTGAAAGGTCATAAATACCTCCTTTAAGGGGAATTCTTACCTCAGCCTTCATACTGTGAGACTGGAAGAACACTGCCTCCTTGTGACCGCATCTGGGAAGTAACAAGGCATCAAGTAAATGTCACAAATACCACCACGTTTGGACAACTTGTTGTTGTCCAAACCTGCCATGTTTTAGTGAGATAAGGAAGAACAAGAATGGCAGGCTAGTTCTTTATTCAACAGCAAAATCAGACCAAAAGTATATACTTTTTTTTAAATTATAAATGCAAAGGAATCTTGAAACACTGCACATGCTACGCTACTCCTAAAGACATGAAGGAAAACTTTACTGGGAAAGGAAGGGATCTGGCTGGTGGGAAAGACATAAGGTCTGTTTAGTGATGCAGATCTTTTCTATTTTCTATCAGTTACACTCAGCAAATACAAACAGAAATTACGCATTATGCTTTTCACTGGCATATGTAAAAAGTCAAATAGAGCAATATCTTTGTCACTGTCTAGTGATTTTCAGATACTTGTAATAGAAAATGTTAGTAGTAACTGCCATCAATATTGTTATAAAGGCCATTTTCTGTCCATTGTTTTTAGACCATGAGGTCAAATTGTAAAAAGATGGAAAAAAGACATCTTTGGAGGCAGCTCCATGCATAATTTAGCCTCAAACAAGCTGCTTTTAAATCCAGTTTTCAACGAAGAACAGTTCTCTCAATCATTTGGTGTCAAATCTGCTGCTGCCTGCATACTTTGATTGCTTTAGTATATAAATACAATTTTTAGCTGTCTTGTGGGAAAGTTAGTCTCTTACGCGTAAACGTAAACTCAACATTTCCAGAGAAAAATGGCACAGACAAAGAGAGCACTTACTTTGGACAGGGGTGGTCCTCTGTTCTCGGCAGCGTTGGATCCTGGGCTACATCAGCAATGATTTGTGTCAGTTCACTGAAGAGAAATCACAAGATTGTTTTAATGAGCAAAATCAATAATTTCAGACCACAAATGAAAGATTTGTAACAAAGCAAACTCTCCCTGATGTGGCATAATTAAGGAAATATTGTTAAACACGTGCAGTTGTTAAATTTGTGTTATTCTAAAAAAAAAAGAAGCTACTGTTGGGTTTGCATTTTAAAATCTTTTGCTATTTTTCAAATACTATTTTATACACCAGAGCTGGTGTACTAGTATTCATGATTATAACAATAGAGCAAAATCAGCATCTTTTTTCGCTAAATAAGGTGCAGAGACTAAACAAGGTGCACATTTAAAGATAGATAGTAGATATGACTAAATCTTTGTTACATACTCAACTTCGTGGGTGATCTTGTTGACATAGATGCAGCTGTTGTCAGCCTCCTGCTGATAGTCACAGTTTCTACACTGTAGGTTCAATGAGACAGCAAAACGTGATAAAGTCTATTAAAAACTGTATTTGTTTGTACTCTTTCCATGCTAACAAATGAGCGACCAGTTTCAGACCAAATACTTACCGCATACAGCAAGATGCGGTTCTCTTTGTCTTCCTTTGGGTACAACATGTTGTTACTGAGAGAAGAATGAACATTGTCACCGTGATATTTATTTACTGTAGCTAAAACCAACATCGTTATGTAGAAAACAACTTGGTAGCACTTGATATAGCTAGCATGCTAATGACACTTCCTTTAATTTAATTTCTGTCTAAGACTCACCATTCTTGACAAAATCGTATTCCAACAAATCCCGGCTCGTATGTTCCACCTTCTAAATCCATCTGAAATTGATTTACTGAAAGAAAGAACCCGACAATCAAGATAAACGGCGCAACGTCTGTTTATGTAGTCGTTACCATTCAAAAACAGCATGTAAAGCGGGGTGACGGTTGTGTTGCTTTCAGAAACAGCGCCTCACACTGGAGGGAGGACGACCTGCATTATGTCTGCGAGTCATGTTTGGGATTAACAATTTTCTCCAAATTGTTAATAAACTGTTATAAAAAACTGCTATGAAAAAAAAAAAAAATCACTCAACATTTTTAGTGAAATGCATCTCAAATTTTTATTTGAGATGCATTTATTTTGTGTTAAATAGGAACACAAATTAACAACACAAACAACTATTTAAAACATAAAATATGTTGGATTTTAAAACAATGAATACATGTCTCATAAAAATTTTATACATTTACATTCAATCAGGCCTTTAACCTCCATATTCCCTATGTTCAAGCACATCAGAAACACTCTGTTTTCAATGTTAATAATTTCAAAAATAACACTGATGTTTGCTTATATCACTTAGTGTATTGCCTAATATTTTCAAGTCTTTTATTTTATTCACCCCCTTTTTTATGTTATCTTAGCAAGGTAACATAATACATAATAACAATAAAAACAAACAAGAAATTATAAAATGTGGGCTTAAAAACAAAGTATGTTGTTTTATACTAGATAATGTTCTTATTTTATTAGAACCCATGATCTAACTTACTGAATATGACTGTAATTACAAAAATAATAACAAAAACAAATAAATCTGAAAATTCTGCAATTGAAAAAAAAAGTAAAATGTAGCTATGGACTCTTTGGATTTAAATTGGACATATAGACTCAGTAACATCTTTTAAAGAGATCATAAATGTTTGATGACAACTGTGGATGGAAAATACGATGTGCAGTTTTTAATATGTTTTTCAAAAAATAAAACATTAAAGTTAAGGAGAAAATACACGTTTTATGTTGCATTATCTTTGTTCTGCTTAAGATCTCTTTATTTAGCCTACAGATGGGATTACATATTGCATTTTGTGGTGCTCTGCCTGTTTAGCAACAGTCTGCCTGTTATATATATATATATCTATTTATACACACACACACACACACACACACACACACACACACACACACACACACACACACACACACACACACACACACACACACACACACACACATCCCATCCCCTCCCCACGCCTGAGCCCTTGATCCTCTGAGCTAATTCCATGAATTGTCCCAATCTAAATCCACAGATGGAGGGATGCACAGTTGACGATGCAGTGAGAGTCTTGATGATAATGATGGACAGAAGGATAAGGAAGACCTGTAGACTACATATAAATGCAAAGCTCCAAGTGTCCATCTTGTTGTCGTTTCTGCTGAGTTTTTCTATGGCTTTACTGTTGTGTGACCTCTCTTTGCAGATGTACGAGTGACCCAGTGTGCCAACTCATCAGAGGGGATGGTCAAGCCAGACTGACGTCACCCATCAGCCTCTGTAATCGAAAGAGACGCTAATCCGTCTCTGCCCCAAAGCCTTGTAGTTGGTAGGGAGGAAAAGGGAAACATCCAGAGACAGAGAGGGAGAAAGAGAGACGAAACCAAGCGAAGTTGGATACAGGAGAGAGGGGAGCACATGTGGGCAGATGGGAGGTCATATTGACCTGGACCAGAGAAGCAAAGGGCTGCCTTGACTGACCAAGAAAGACCAAAGCTTCACTCGCAACTGGATCTTCTATCAAGCTCTGGTATTTCTAAAGGTCTGGAAGCCCAACTTCTTCCAGGCTTCGCTCTGGAGGCCACAAGTTCCTGTGGAAGGACAGCAGAGGGGGAATGCTGTGGGAGCTGCTCACCCCCTCATGCACCCCCTCTGGTGTCGCCTTTGCTCACCGTGGAGGAGCCAAGCTTCACCACTGTGGAACTATGCCAAGACGAACAAGACATGCACCTGACTGCTAAAGAAGGGTAGGAAGCATGGTGTTTTAGACACCAATTAAACCCTAAGTAGTAAAAATCTGCTAAATTAGCTGCCATATTATAACTCTGCAATTCAAGTAAGAGTCATGAAGATATGATCTTGAAGAAAATAACTACAGGCTTTGCTAGAATAAAAGTTCCTGTCAATGGTAAGAGATAGAAATTAACTGATAAAAACATGTTGAAATGTCACAGGAAAGTGTTTTACATTTATCAGTGGATATACACTGTATGCTTCAGAGGCATAGGGATTTTCCATTTATGCCTGACTCACAAACACCAAACAACTTCTTCCCAATGCAACATGGTTTAGACTAGAAGTTTCTTCCCAGGTTTTTTTATACAGTGTTTCGATCTATTCACTTCAAGTTTCATAATTAAAGCTTGAACACTGTCAAATTACCTGCCAAAACAGTTTTTTTAATTTATGCTATGAAAATGAGCAAAAGACTTATCCTTTTCAAAATCTGTATGTGAAAAAAGATATGCATTTTTGAAAATTATATTTTCAAAATATCATTTGAAAGCAAACAATTTTTTTATGACATTGACAAAAGAAATTCTTCCCTACAAATTCAAACATTTAGAAGTAGTGACATTTTTAAAAAGTAAAGAAACATTTAATGCAGGGGAGGCAAATTGAGCATCCGCTACTTAGTAAAATCCCTAAGACAACATCTAATTAAATATAGTGAGATATTTGCCACCCACAGTTGCTGTTATTCTTATCTGCACTTCAGATTAGGTTAAACTTTAAGGGCCATTTCCCCTCTCATTTCTCCTATCAGTGTATTAGAGAATAAACCACTAAGTGCAAGATAAATATAAGAACCACAGAAAAAAAAATGAGGGGAAAATTAAAGTGTTCTATAAAAACACTGAAAAACAATCCCCCAAAACTCAGAGTGAATAAACAACTGTATTTGTGACTGAAATAATATTTGCATTAATGCTGTAAAAAACAAAAAATTCTCATAAAGCTGAAAATCAAGCAAGTTAAACATCTCATGATGATAAATGGTAAATGGACAGAATTTACAAAGTGCCTTTCTAAGCATATTGACCACTACTTTAGGGACCCCAAAAGCTTGGGGTCCTAAGCTACTCTCCCTTGTTAAAGTTCTGGCCATAATCATAGTTTCAATCATTGACAAAACTAGCACCACAAAATTCAAACTCAATTTATAACACCATATAGAATATTTCCTGTCAACATTGGCTTTATGAGGAATTCATTTGTCATTAGCTGGTAAAAGGAGTTAGGTAAGCTGAAAAAACTTGTTTTCTAGTGTGAACTAAAAGTCACACTTAAGTTTTTATCAGTTTTTTTATTTGTATCATTTTATAGGATAGTTTCACCAATTCTTATTTGATCCTATGAAATAATCTCAGGAAAGTTTGTTTGCCTATTGTCTGCTGTTTAGTAAAAAAATGGAAATCTGTGAAGAGTGATGAGAGTGATGTCATATAAGCATTGACATGTAAATATATTTATCCATTAAAGATTCCTATTTTGTGAATATATTGTGAATAAAATCTGGCCCCATCAGACAGATGAAATTCTTCATGCAGCTAGCATGAAGAATTTTACACATAACGTTTAAAATACAATCCTTTTTATTTACAGGAAGCAGAAAAATGGACTGTTGTAATTTTTCTCCAGAGATTTCTCAACACCTGAGTTTCACAGTTGCCAAACAAGAGGGTTTTGTCAAGAAACATGAGTTCCTCATCCTCATCAGGTTTTAGTCTGCTTTGGCCCTCAAAATGTTTTGGAGCAGTTGAGGAAATAACAGTGGCAAGACAAACAGAGGTGTGAGACAGGTTTTACTGTTTTTCCCCCCCCAGTTTTTGTTGTACATTCACATTATTATTATTAAGCAAATTTTTAAATCAGACAAATATAACTCGACTAAATGCAAAAAGTATGTTTAAAAAAACTAAAAAATTATTTGGGAAAAGAGCAATCCAAGATAACTAGCCCCTAAGTAAAAATGTTTCCACCCCCTAAACGTAATAACTGGTTATTGCCATAACGTACGCTGAGTCTTTTGCAGCTGCAATGGAGCTGCAAAAACAAAAGCAAATTCATGTTCGAATTGTTTAAGCTCATACAACAGCACCTTAACAGGAATTAAGTCCAGACTTTGACTAGGCCTCTTAAAACCTCATATATAATTTTTTCTTTAGCTATTTGGAGGTCAAACTTGCTGTAGCACATTGAACTGTTGTCCTGATGCATAATTAAAGCGTGCTAAAGTTTAAGGTGCTGACGTAGAACAGCGAAATGTATTTTGTTGTAGTAAATGCTGTGTTAGCTTCCTGCCAGATGTATTGGGACACACAGTTCCACTTTTGTCCCATCAGTCATCAGAACTATGTCATTTGGGAAATATGAGTCAGACTAGTTTCGTCCTTACTGAATCATAAACACACCATATTTAACTGAGACACGTGAGGGTGACAGGGCTTTAACTGTAGCTCTGGGTTGTGACCAAATATGGTAAATGAGTTGTTGATTGCAGTAAATTTTGTAGACAAGCCACTCTCTGAAGGTCATATCTCAGTCCAATGTCTCCTTCATTTGTGCTTGACAAAAAATTACAACATGTAGGCAAGTGAGAGAAAAAAATCTGATGTGTGAAAACAGGAACAATAGATATAAACGCTTAACCTTGTTAATCATAAATGTAAAAGATAACTGTTATCATTCACACCATCGTCTTGCTAACAACTTTATGACCGGAATTTAAGGTGGTGTAGATTTGACATTCAATCATGTTAGACATGGACTGTTCTCTGTGCTAACAAAAATCTATCATTTAGTATACTTGTCTTGTTTGTCATGTATGAGACAAGTGTATTTTGTGGATGAGTTCAGTCAAATGTAGTGCAATCCATCAAGGGGGGGGGGGCAGGGGGGGAGAAGTGAGGGTGACTGTTGACTGAGCTGAATCAATGATGAAACAATGATGCATGCGAGGGATTACACAGAGGTTAAGCTTCTTCATCATAATAGCTGCTGAAAGTTTCCATACCAGGTGGCACACAAACAGCTTAGCATGGAACACTTGTCAACAGCACAGTATCAGAAATTGAATTGCAAAGCTGCACACGTTCACAAGTGGGTCAAACATGATAGCATCCTCTCAAAGCCGATCCTGTTTGGACGAGAACAGGGTGTCCTCGTTTTGCCCATTGTGCAAACTGGCTTAGTGTTTGTGTATTGCTCATAGTGAACAATAAATATAGTTGTACAGAATCATAAAGCCTCCCATGATAAATCAAACAAACAGAAGAACAGCTAAAAATCTGTTCAGCTTCCCCCAGTTAGGTGGATCTCTGAAATCTCCTTGCTAAAAAATGACATGTTGCCTTGTAAAGAAAAATATGATTAGCCTCATGGTTTCTTTACATTTGCCACATTACCGTAACGTTTTATTGTGATTTATGACAGACAATATAAACTAGCATATAACTGAAAGGAAAGGGATGTATAGGTTTCAATGTTCTTTCATAAAATACCCTTAAATAATATTGAGTGTATTCAATTCAATTTAATGTCATTGTAAATACTGATGTTAAGAGAATTCCTCAGGATGAGGAAACAAGTCCACGATGACCAAGGAGCTAAGAAATGAATAAGTTAGGTTATAAAATATTATTTCTTACCTTGAACATTTCACTGAGAACTGTTCAATTCTCAGGACAATTCTCAGTTGGGTATTTCATATATCTGGCCCTTATGGAATAATGGCAAAAAGCAACCAATTTTGTACATTATTCTGATCATGCTGTCTCCACAACGACACAAAGAGGTGGCAGCATCATGCTGTGGGGATGCTTCTCTTTAGAAGAGACTGAGAAGCTGATCAGAGCTGATGGCAAGGCGGGCAGAACTAAATTCTGAAAAAAAAAAAAACCCTCAGAAGGATAACAATCTTAAACATACAAGCAGAGCTTACTATTTGCAGACAACCTATAAGGAGGTACTAAACATGTTTTCATTAAGGCCACATTTCTGTGTTAAAAATGTTTTTTTTTTTGGTCTTTCATCATATTCTAAATTTAAATGTTATGTCTTCACAGTGGGAAATGATTATAATAAACAGGAATAAAGGTCTTCAAACTTCTATCTCTGTGTAGTTAATCCATGTAATGTGTTTAATTTTGAGACAAAGTTCTTCATATTAATTGGATTTACAATAATATTCTAATTTATTGACTGGGTTTGCTCTGTAAATGTGGCTCCTGAGAAGAGTGACTTCTCTGGAAATTGTGTAAAGGCACTTTTTAAGTCTTAAAGCTTCCCCAAATTAATGTTTTGGAAATACAGCATTGATCCTAAGCAGACATTTGTGGTTCTGTTATTTACCAGACAACAGCTTCAAATAAAAGTATAACTGAAACTGAAAAATTAGGTAAAAATAAGCACAAAATGTGTTTTTGTGGACCAAAGTCCTATATTAATAAGCACCACAAATAAGTGCAGGACAACATTCCCCTTTCTCATCCTCCTGTTCTCAATCAAAAGTCACACAGGTCATCTTTTCAGGGAAGAATTCACAGAATATTTTTATTGCTTTACTACCTAGCAGGACATTTATGTAGCTGTGATTTGATAATAGAGCCCAGAATAGAATTTAGATTGCATCAGTTTTTAAATGGACATTTAATTAAAGAGCAAGACTTAGGAGGTTGGGTCACTGCCCTGGGGGTTATGCACTGAGTGGTTCTTATATGAAACAAAATGAGAAGCAGGGAGAAAAGCAGAAGCGAAGCATGAAAGAGGAATAAATAGAGGATTGGATTCAGCTCTGCAGACCTTTCTGTTTCCCATCAGCCATTCTGTAGGTGGGACATTCACAAACACATCCATGTTACTGACAAAAGAAAACCCAATCAATTATTTATAGGAGCTCGTAGGCTGGCCAAAATGAAACAGAGCATTCGCTCAGGCAGGTTCCGAGCCAGAAAATCAAATAAGGGGGAAAGACTACAGACTATGATCCGTCTTAGTTTACAACCCAGTTTGAACTGTGTATTAATCTGCAGAATTAATGTGTTTCACTTTGTGTGTGGGAGTCATGCTTGCACGCATCTGTACCAGAATTGGGCAACGTGATGTGGGGCAGAAAATACATAAGCCAGTCAAAACGCTGGGATGCTCGATGATGTGACTCTGTGGTAACTGAGCTTTAATTGTGACTCACATGGTGGCAATGGTGAGGTTACATGGGAGACCAGATGATTTGACTCAGGGAAACAAACTTTCAAAACCCTTCACCCAAAATCCTCCTGAAACTTCAGCATTTTTATGGTAATAAACAGAACTAAAGAAACTGTAAACTACTGCAGATTTGCACACAAATCAAATAAAAACCTGAAGTGAGAGTTACATTGATGTGAATGCAGCCATCATTCTGAATTGGTATTTACATTATTATGTAACATTTGAAAAACCATCATGGTAAGCTTTAAGGTAAATACTTTTTTCCACTCGCTGCAGATAATTTAAAACTATTTTTCTTGTTATTTCCCTAATTTTCCTTAGTTTAATTTTATTCTCTTTCTGCAGGAGTGTGCAGAAGATGAGTGATCAAGATCCGAACTGTGAAGATATGCAGAAGAAGGACCAAAGACTGCCATTCCAGGTGGGCTCTGTCGTCATCGTTGTACTACAATGTTACAAGGTTACCTAAATATTTCTGAATCTTTTTTGAATAGCTCATAATTTCGCATAGCTATGATATAAAATACTCAGTGTCTCAGTTTCATACAACATACAACACAGAGATCCACAACTGAATGTCATGTAAGGCATAAGAAATATAAAGTGTTTGAAACGGGCTGAAAGAGTGAATAAAAAAAGAAACCCTAAAGCAGGACCTTGTGGGATACCACAAGCAATGGAAGAAGAGGAAGTTCTGAGTTTAGAAGCAGCAACAGAAAAGGATCAGAATATGAGAGTGAACCAAATAAAAACCTTAAATCACGTCTAACGTGAGCAAAACAACATTCTCCTGCAGTAGTATGCACCACTATGCTACTGGAGACTTGAAAAAGAGCAGTACCATTAGCACAAGATGTTTGGAAACTAGGCTGAAAACTCTAATTGAGGTTGTTTGTCCTAATCATCTGTGAGCTTGAAGAAATTTAGGTAATCCTTCAAACTCCATTAAAATTGAAGTATACGATCCTAAAGCTGAATAAATAATGTGTTTTTGTTGATTTTGTAATCTGCAGGAATATTGACGTTGAAAAACAGAGAATTAAATAGGTGACGACCGAGGTATTTTCAATTCTGAGAGCAAGACTATTTATTTTTTCAATTCTTAACCAATGATTCTTCCAGATTTTCCCAGACGCGATAGAAATTGTCTTGGGCCCAGAGGTGTCACTGAACAGTCCAGATCGGGACAAGGAGCGTCTGCCTTCCATCGTTGTGGAGCCCACAGAAGTGAGCGAAGTGGAAAGCGGCGAGCTGCGCTGGCCTCCCGAGAACATAGAAACAGAAGACGATGAGGAGGACCTGTTCCTGGAGCAGTGCATCCCCCCAGCCAACATTGCTGACTGGGGAGAAGACGAGGAAAAGGAGGAGACATCAATAGCACTGCAGCAGCAGTCAGGCCTGACACTCCTTGGTGAGCTGATGAACATTCCCCCGGTTTTGGACTTAGCTTTGAAGTTGCAAAAAATTTGATTTGAATCTATCGTTTGCACACAATAAAAAAACTGCGAGTCTTCACAACGATGTTTTACAGAAAATTATAATTTACGCATCAAATATTAATTTAATGTGGAAAACAGTTGTGCCTTAAAAAAATAAACTATTAAAAAGATCAAATTTCTTAAATGTTTAGATCAAAATTTTATTCTGTCAAAAATGTTCAGTGATATTTTTACAACAGTTATGAAATCCTACACAATTAAATGTTCACATAAGTTTAAATGTTATTGTTATATATTTACATTTTTTGGCATGTAAAACTATTTATAAAAAATAAAGCAAAGTGTTCTTAGCAGCATTAGCCAATATTGAGGGGCACATATGAATATTTTAATTTCTGTAAGCTTTGAGCAATCAAGCATTTTAGGGTCCTATTTGCTCCACACCAAAAAATATTATTCATAAATTAATAACTTTAGAGAAAACAAGCTTAAGATTAAATCAAAATGGAGCAAACAAAGACTTTAAAGAAATATGCTCATATTAAACTTCTGTCTTAAATAGGATGAAACAAAGATAGAGAGGTTTCACATCACACTGCTACTTTATCTGTAAGCATTTTTTTTTAAACTACGTGACGCCTCACATAGGAAAAAATGATGTAAAATTTTGCAAGGAAGCATAAATAGAACAGGAAATTTGCACACAACCTCATTTCCAAACAAAGCCGAAATTTCTCTACATGTTACATATGACACTTTCTATGATTTTTCTGATAGCCTTCTCACTACAGGGGAAAATAAAGCAAAAATATAGCCAATTCCTTTTGAAAATGACTGAAAGTATGCATTGTACATTAATTAAAAAAATTTAAGACAACAAATATAAAGTAACAAGGGCAGTTTGGCACTAACTGGGGAACTAAATATGTGCAACCAGAACAACATCAAGCCATTGAGACCATAGCCAATCCAATAATATTTGTAAACCTAAAAACAAAAAAAAACACAGCATATTCTTTAATATTTAGAAAAGTAAACACAGATCCTTTCCATAAGTGGTACAATAGGACAGCTCTAATGCAGCAAACAAATCCCTCCATCAATCCAGTTTTCAAAGACAGCTGTGAAATGTTTCAGTCATTTTTTCATTAGTTTTAAGCCCTTGCAATTATTTGATTAGATACTTACTTTGAGAAATAGGTTTTAAAAATAAAAACACACACAGCATAAAACAAATTTCTAACTGAAAATTAAAAGCCATTATCTTCCTCTTTTTTTTTTTTTGCTTTTCAAAATTAGTTGTAATGCCCAGAATGAGGGATTGCTGCAATGTTACCCACCTATTGCAAACAACTGCCACATCCTTGTTCGGGTGAAGTAATTGCTGCAAAGCCCGTCGCTCATTTGAAATAGCTGGACTTCATTTGAATAAAAGCTTGATGACATAAACCGAATTTAACTGCATTGTCTTATAACTAGGACTTTGAATCTGTCTAGATACCAAGATTTAATGTATCATATATTTCTGTATTTTAACTGGACCGGAGTGTTTTGTAAAATGCTTTGAAATGACGCTAGTTTTGAATTGGTTCTATGTATATAAAAAAGTAACAAAGACCAACACAGGGCAAACGGGGTAAAGGCAGAGAACCCATGCCTGCTTTTGAAGGCCGAGCAAACTCTCTGAATTTTGTAGTGTGTAGTTTTGCAAAGCTTTAAAGCTAAATCAAAACTTTTTTCTTTCTGCAGACCTTCAGTCTGATGCATTTAGAGACGACACCCCGACTCTTCCTCCCAACAGTGCCCCCACCTTCCACTAAGAACATCGCCTCTGCTGACCCTGCGAGGAAACATCTTGAGATGAACTGTGGCAATAACTGTTGGGATGAAAAAATAACAACAAAAACAGCTGCAAAGCAGCAAACACGTTATGATAATAGTTAGGTAAACAACAACAACAGCAACAAAAACGCAACAAAAAACGACAAGGCAACCGGGACATTTTGGTTCAATGTCTTTGACTGAAAGGATTTTGATGTTTTCTGATCGGGGAAGATAATCATCCAAACACAAATGGACAGGTTTTTCTTTTAAAAGTTTATTTTAAGGCAACATTTAGCTGAAATTGAAGGTTTGTGTTTCATTTCTTTTGGGATGTTCCATATTCTCAAAAACCCTGATGTCGCAACTTTTTTCCCCCTTTTCTGCTCCTTTTCCTTTCACATTGGGTAGTTTAGTTGAAATATTTATGTGCTTATTCCTCCAGCATGTAGGACGTAGTAAATCACAGTGCGCTAGCTGCCTGCTGATGGTTCATATAACTTGGAACTGCACAGGACTTTTACGTGTTTTTTGTAACAAAGGTTTGCTTTCAGCAGCAGAAAACCAACAGTTCTTGAAGTAAGATAAATGTTTGAACAGATCAAACCCCAAAATGTTTTTGCTTTTGTGGGAAATCTGAATAAACAGACATTATTATTTTTTAAATTTTAACAATAAAGTATTTGTTCTCTTTATATGGGAAAGATGAGGGTTGTAGCATATTTAGTATTTTAAATATTCCGTTTACTTGTTTGAAATGTTGTTAAAGTTCTTCTACTTAGGGCAAGATCCAGACACTACACACTCCATTGACGTAAAACATACGAACTAAAATTTTTCATGTAATGAGAACAAACAACTGAAGTAAAATTAAAAATTGTAACATGTTATTCATGTACTTTAAATGTTGACAAATTCTTTGAATGTTGTATAATTTCAATGTGTGAAACGCACCTGAGGCAACATTTATCCCATTAACATGGAATAAATTCTATATCTGGTTCCTGTGTTATGGAAAGATTTAATTCTGACATGTGAAATCTAAATACATTACTTTTGTTTTACATGCTTCAGCTTGTAGTCATTTTTAATTGTTAAAATTCCTCCTATCATTATGTAAAAAACATAGAAAACCCCTCAACATTAGGAGGGGTGTGTGTGATATGTGATGTCACATTTTGCTACACAAGATTTTCATGCGTTTTACATTTTTTTCCATGGAATTCCTTTTCCATCTGTCTCACATTAGGAATGTTTTCCGTGTTACACATTTTACAGCACAATTATTTTCTCGCGTCACAACAATTTTCACATTTAAAACATCATAATTTTACACTTGGAAAGGTTTTCCTCACAGGTTTCACATGTTGTGCAAACTATAAATTTACATATTTGTTTTAATGTTTTTACATAAGAGTATCTTTGAATGTAAGATGTGGGAAAATGTTACCCCGAGTTGTTCTTCATGTTACCGCACAATATAATTTATGTGAAACACGTTGGGAAATGTTCTTCATTTCAAATGTTTCCTCAAATGTCACAGAACAACATCATTCCCATAAGTTTACACAATAAAATGTTCAAATGTTAAACGTGTAGGACAATGTTTTCTCAAGTTTCGTTTTACTCCACAATATGATTTTCAAATCAGAAAAGTTTGCTGGGAAGCAATCCATGTGTAAAACAAACAAACGTTAGTGTGATATTATTATGTGTACCTACTTTCTGAAAATGTCTATTTTGTTTGAAAAAATAAATGTTGCCACTGACCACCGGTCAATGAAACTCGTAGTGGTAAAGTTGTTTGAGTTTCTGAATAAAATGGCTGGATTACCTCCTCAACAATGCAGTCGGGTTCTCCAGAGTCCTGCTGATGACATCATTATTTCATTCAGGTGTGTCGGAGCAGAGATGCATCTAAACGTTTCAGGTCACCAGCCCTGAAGGACTGGAAAACACCTAGCAAGAAAATGAGATTCCTCCACAGGACTTATGCAATAATAGTGTGTAGTGCAATAATCCTAAGGTTTTTTTTTTTCTTTCCTAAGCAAAATTCTCAAGTAAAGTAAAATACACTTCAATACTCTAAAGTAAAATACAATAATGACAAATAAGAAACTTGTCATGATGTGTAGCAAAAAAGTTAAATTCCTGTTTCTTAAATATGTCCAGGAAACGATAAAAATCTGCTTGAAGGAAACGGAAGTGTCACAACAGAAGTGAGAAGAGCCAGAATCATGAACAAGTGAAAGTATGATCCTTCATGAAGACGAAAAAACATTTTAAAAAAGCTGTGAAGAAAATTGTGCTGAGGGTTTCTATGCCTTCTATGTTTTAAAACATAAAAGTGTGACAAAAAAGGACAAAATAAATCTAAATGAAATAAAAATAATTAAAAAAAAAATTCTTTGTACTTGCTACACTGTGCTTCCTGTACAACTAATGCCCAATCGTTTACAGGAACACTTAAACACCTTTTGCTGTGATTTAGCTGTTTCAATTTCCTAGAAATTCATTAGCATGCACAAAACACTACATTATCATGAAAAAGGTCAAGGCAGCCTAAGTGTTGTCAGAGTGTCATAAACTTTCAAAACAGGGAAACTTGACATTGTGCAAAATGTTCAAGTTGTTCAGATTCACAGATTCTCTATGTAATCACTCTGTTAAGCTCTCATTGGACAGAACTGTGTAGTGACTCTTGTGCAATTGTGCTGATGGGTGTGTACATCTTTGAATGTGTGTTACGGGGGTTGGAGTTGTTAAAGGTACTCTTCAATGCAGTCGCAGCTTCATAACTTTCTGTTAAAGAGTCAGGGTGGAACTTCAACAAACCAATCAACCGTAAGTAGGCACATTCATTAAATCTAATAGGTTTTTATTAGTTTGTGTTTTTTTCAGAGGTAATCTACATACCCTTATGAGAATGTACACTAGATTATTGTCTCTAAAATGAAATTAGACAATAACTAATTCAATTAAATGTTGTCTTCACTTACAGGTTTAATTTACTATGGATTCAGAATATTCCGACAGTTTGGACTCTTTCAACTTCACTGAAGATTTATACCCTGACATCTTTGTGAATAATTTCACAGAGTTAAACTTACTTCCTGAGATTCAACCCATACAGATAGTGTCTCTGGTCCTCTACGCCCTGGTGGTCCTACTTGGAGTACCTGGTAATGCGCTGGTTTTGTGGGTGACTGGTTTCTGCATGAACCGCTCGGTCACCTCTATTTGGTTCCTGAATCTGGCGCTGACTGATCTTTTGTGCTGCCTGTCCCTCCCTCTGCTCATGGTGCCCCTGGCACATGATGACCACTGGCACTTCGGCCCACTAGCCTGCACTCTAGTTAAAGGCCTTTTCTATTTGGTGATGTACTGTAGCATTCTGCAGCTGGTTCTGATCAGTGTGGATCGCCTGTTGCTTGTTAAAAAAGCCGTATGGTGCCAGAACAACAGGCGACCCAAGCAAGCTGCATGGGCATGTGTGGCTGTGTGGTGCTTGGCTCTGCTAGGCAGCATCCCTCAGTTTGTCTACGCCCAGGAGATTAAAAAAGGGGAACATAAGAGGGAATGTGTCCTAGCATACTCCAAAGAAAGCTCTTGGCCCATCGTATCCTTTCGGTTTGTGATGGGATTCATCCTCCCCTTCTTTGTCATTGTCATCTGTCACCTGGTTGTCTACAGCACCACCCGGAGGGGACCGTCACGTGGTCGGGCCAGATCCAAACGAACCCTGAGAGTCATTGTTGTTGTGGTGCTGAGCTTCTTCTTGTGCTGGCTCCCCTTGCACATCATGGACTTTATCGAACTGGCAACCCCTCTGCATTCTTTCCACAGTCCAAGAATCTACCTGGCTCAGGTGCTGGCCGTCTGTCTGGCATACTTCAACAGCTGCCTCAACCCTCTGATCTACGTGTGCGTAGGGAAAAGTTTCAAAGACAGCATGAACCGCTCAATGCGTCACATCCTCCACTTTGCTACCGAGGACCCAGCCTCAAGGGGGAGTATAAACGACACCAAGAGCACCAGCAACGAAAGGGTGACGACCAAAATCTGATGGACTTGTGTTTACAACCAACGTACAATCTTTAATTCCTAAGGAGAAAATATGTGAATGTTAATTCTGTGCAAGTTTCTTGGCCATGAACTTAAATTCAGTTTGGAATCAACTCTGAAATTTATGCTGTGTTAGTTTTTCAAAGAGACCATGTAAAACAGAATAGTTGACCTCTGCAAAGGCAGCTGTTGGGTTGGGTTCCGCCTTAGTGGGTAATCAGGATGTCTTGCACAACTTGTGATGTTCCAACAGTTCCTTTTCATGTATTTAAAACTAAAAAAAACAAGGGCCCACTTCTTCTTTTATAGAAACATGATTTTTATTTATTTATTTTATTTTTTTTTACTTTGTCTTGCTTTCACATATTACACTGCTATCAAAGTAATTTTTAAAATATTATATTCTCTCTTCATGACATAAATTTCCCAGTAAAATTTGTAGGGTGGGCAGTTTTATTATTTAAGTTGCTGTTCCTAATACAAACCACAAGAGGGAGACATTTTCTAAACGTCTGAAGATAAAAAGGGTACATTGCTTGTATTATATTTTATTTAATAAAATGTAGCCCTGATAAAACTGATTCTTTTAAAATATTTTTTTAACAGTAAACAAATGTCCTATTAAAATAATTCATTTTTTTTATTTGACGTTTACATAAAGACACAATTTTATAAGAATTACAGTGCAGGTTTTCAAATATTACATACATATGTTGCTTCTATTTTTAAAAATTGTATTTCAAAACATTGTAAACTTTTATTTTTTTAAAACAAGTGAACATGTTTGCAGATTTTTTTCCCTGAAATTTTTGACAGGATCTTCTATCATTGCTTCGTGAAATGTTTTGGAAAATAGGTAAATATACACATATTTTATTTGACAATGTCAATGGTGTATTTGAACTTTTAAATAATAGTAATCTTATACAAAATTAAATTCCCTCAAATATTTATTCTTCCAACAATTTACTATATTTTCCTTTTTCTCTGGGACTCTGCATGCCAACAGTAAAAAGACAACCGATTTGATTACTAGTCTTAAGTTGTTGAAAAAAAATTAAGCACCACTCGCATTGGGAAGGTCATGTTTTTTTTTTATTATTTAGTAAATCATAAAAAAGAAAACAAAACCAACAAAATGTGTACAAAAAAGTTACCAAATAGAGACAAAATTACAATTTACATACTACATTCATTGCAAACAAGGCCACGTGATGATATATACAAAAGCAAACATTTACAAGTGTGTGGTTTCCTATGCCTGTGTTTTTATTGAGCTTGTGCACTTAGATATACTTAAAGCACATGCATATATGCATACTGGTATGGTAACATGGTATATACTGGACATTGTCTCTCAGTCCTCTTAATTTTTGCTCATCAGTAAAGTAAAGCAGTGGTAGTCTCTACATATTGGCAGATGTCAACATTAAACCACAAGTGTGCAGAGTAGAAGACAGTGGCATCTAAAAATTGCACATTCAGTTCCTGTTCAGGGTTTCACTATCAGCAAGTTCACCCTGACGCAACTTTGCAACAATGACTGAATCTTTGTGCTGATTTTAACTGTTTAATAATTGCTAACTTTTTCTCCTTTCAACAAATGCTTTAATTTTGAATTGAAATGCCTGTTAGGACAGGAAATATGATTTGTGATGATTCTCCTAAAACAAGTTTATTCATGGGGAAAATAGTAGGGGCGCACTGATTGCAGTTTTCTGGTCAATCGCCGATTACTGATCTTTTAAAAAGCCTAACTTACCGATTCCGATTTTGGCCGATACCATTTTTGTCTGAAATGCTTATCAAGAAAGTTGCTGAATTGACAATGATGGAGTGACTATTGTTATCCCATCGGCATGACCTGGACAGCCGTTTTGTCAGTCAAACCTTTGTCATAGGAGAAAAGAAAAGCACAGTGGTTGATTTTTAGACCTTTGCCGAGGCTGATAACAACGGTGGATAAGATCGGCTTCACATGTAAAAATCAGCCGATCACGATCTCCCAAAATTAAGGAAATCAGCACCGATAAATTGTCTGGCCGATAAATCGATGCACCCCTAGAAAATAGAGAGAAGTATCATTCCCAGGTAAGACTTCGAGTTGGCTCCGAGGTCTCCTTCAAATGATCCAAAAAGAGTGTAAAATGTACTTTTTAAGACAATATTTAGGAAGGTCTAGCAAACAATATTTTCCCATGCCTATATCTTTCTTTATTTTTATCAATAGTTTTTATATCTTGTAGGTGATCCTTGTGATTGACTGGTGCTCTGTCCTGGGTGTACCTTGGCTATGGTCTACTCACCACTTAAGATAAGCATTACCCTCATGATACTGTAAGGAATAAATATTTATCGACAATGAATTAATGTATTCCATATTTCCCCAAGATTTTTTTTTTGAGAAATTATTAGAAAGAAAAGTTGCACAACCCTTGGCAAACAAACTGAAATCATTGAGAGTGTTTAATCAGTGAGTTTACAAAGAATCATAGATATGGCATAACATTATTTTATCTAACAGCTGAAGACTTAAGTCTAATTAAGCAGGTGAGTGAGCGCTTTAATACCTCAAGAAGTTGTTGGATTGGGAAAAAAGAATCCAAGTGAGATAACAGCCAGCTGACTAAACGAGAGTAATGGTCATAAAAATGCAGCAAAAGATGGACCTTGTGCATGCATGCTAAGATGTTGTTGCAAGTTCAAGCAAAATGAACAAGTTGTAAAAGGGAAAAATTAAGGCAGACCAGTGGGGACATGAAAGCAGTAGGACAGGAAAGCTCAAGGTAAAAAAAAAAAAAAAAAAAAAAAAAAAAAAGCCCAATTAAAAAAAAAAAAAAACACAAAAAAAAAAAAAGAAAAAAGCGCTACACAAAAAAAAAAA